ATGAAATCTGATGCGGTATTTTTTCTCAATGTCACTACATTATTGTACTCGACGCTAGGTGACGATAGTCTTTCTAGAAACGCTGCGCTGACGGCTCTAGATTATGTACAGAGAGTAGAATGTAACTTGATAGATTTATGTGAAACATACAGTAATGCTATTCAAGTGGAAATAGACCGCGGCACTTCAGAGAATACTGAAAAAATTGAAAAATTAGCATGCCAGTCACTCAGACAGTTACAAAAAGAAATTAAAGCTGAAGAACTGTATGCTATTGGTAAACTTTTCAGTGCAACTTTCAAGGCAAGAGTCTGCAGAGGAAAGCTCGCTGAAAGTGCTCGATCAGGATTTAGAGCACTTACTATTAGTCGCTTTCTCCAAGCCTACACGGTTTCTTTAGATATTATTCCCGATTTATTTTACGTCCTGTTAGCCCGACGCCGTATTGAGGAAGCAATTGATGTTGTCCGACTAACATTGCGTTTGGGTCACAATCAGATTTCGCTTGTTTGTGAAACTTGGTACTACGCTTTGTGCATAGATTTAATTTTGGACGCGGGTTTCCAATTAGAAACTCCTCAAGAAATCAGCCGTTTTGCTGAATATGCTTTGGAATCGGGAAAATCCGGTGGACAAAGTCACCGTCGTTTAGTAGTTGGATTATGGACTTATTGGCTTAGAGTCGATATTGAACGAAAAGCAAAGAGATTCGAAAATGAAGCATTGAGCTGGATGTCATGCGAAACTGACAACGGGTCGCTGACAACGCTGATTAGTGCAATGAGACTAGCCGAAGGAATGCTCGAAAGTTTGGCGAGAAAAGTAGACGATTTAAGAAAGGTAGTATTTTTATTATATCTGAAATAGATGTACATGATTTAAAATGAATTTGTCTGTAATTTTTAATGACTTAGACGCGAACGTGAGCTCACGACTTGCGTTTGTCTGAGCCCATAGGCATCGCAGTATGAATGCCGCCAATGACTTGGAGACATGAGAGCTAAGTCTCAATTGCATCGGACTATCCTAATCTAAGGACCGGAATGCCTTTCTATTACGTTGTTAAAACGTGAAGGACAATTATGCAAGCCCTTTTTCACTTCTGGTAGAATGTCTTTTAAGCCCGTACGGACAGACATCATTACCCTGCCTATTTTTGCCGTGAAACAGTAATGCATTGCGGTTTGAAGGATGGGGCAGCCGTTGTACTATAAAACTGAGATTTAGATCTCATATCATCATAAGATGGATGATAGCGCTGAAGATGTCTATGGGCTACGAAAGCCACTTAAAACCAGGCGGGTCGTGAACTCGTCCACCCAACAAGGCAGTAAAAAACCACCAGACATGCCCTACCATCAGGAGGTGCGCAAAATTATAATGTGCGATATTTCTTTCATCGCCCTATGTGTATCAATGAATTTACTGTACAGGTAGTAGATATAATGGAACTCCGATCGATTGCTGACAAAGAGTTGACAGGACTCGAAGCAGACGCTCGTTTGATACGCAGCTTATATCCTCGATGGCTATTGTTAAAAGCTAACTCATTAAAGCTTTCCGGTCGATCAGCGACATCCTTGCTCAATCAGGTACCTACCTAAAATTATAACTATTATACCAAATTTTCTTTACGTTATCGTAAGCCACATTAACAATAAAATACGTAGTTTAAAAACTAAAAAAGCGCGTTTAAATAGCAAACCGAAGAAACAATTCATTTCATCTTTTTCTTTATACTGTTGATACTGGTAAGGACATTAGAGCGAAGTTATAGAATTGCTGTATTATCATCGATCTTTGATGCGTATGTGAATTATCAAGTTAACGTCTTGAAGTCTGTGAAAATGATATTAAAGTTTTGTTGAAATACAGGGTGGGCAAATTTGAGGTTAGGAAGTAAATTGACTTAAAAACACACTTTTTTTTTGACAAATTCAGTTTTATTGATACCAATGTAAACTAGAATTATGGGAATTAATGATGGAATATGATTTCTGGCAAATGTCCACATTTAGCACGTCGGCACACGTCCGTTCTTTTTACAAAATTTAGAATCACAATTTGCAACAAAGCTTCGCTTATCTCGTCAATGGAGCACCGAATTTCATCTTTCAGAGCGTCAGTTGTTCACGTAAGCCCGCTCTTTCAAATGGCCCCAGAGAAAATGATCCAGCGGCGATAAATCACATGAACGAGGTGGCCAATTGACGTCGCCAAATCGAGAAATTACGCAACCGGGAAATTTCTCATGCAATAACTGAATTGTTTGAAGGACTTGTGGCGCCGCAGCGCCGTCTTGTTGGAACCAAAGGTCACTGATGTCAACGTTAACCTATTGTGGCCACAAAAAATTGGTTATCATGGTTTGGTAGCGCAGAGAATTCACGGTGACGGCGTTTCGTTGCTCATTATCGAAAAAATACGGGCTGATGATTCCGCCTTACCACAAACCGCACCATACGTTCACTTTCTTTGGATGTAATGGTTTTTCGAGGAGTGTTTGTGGATTTTGTGAGCTTCATATGCGACAATTTTGTTTGTTTACATAACCGCCTAATTGAAAATGAGCGTCATCATTAAAGATGATTTTGTTAAAAAATGCGTTGTTTTCGTTCAGTTTTTCAAACAGCCAATTCACAAACGTTCGACGCAAGCAATGGTTGGCCGGCTGTAATTCTTGAACGAGTTGAACTTTATAAGCGTGGAGATGAAAATCTTTATGCTAAATGTTGCACAAAGTGCCTCTGGTGATGGCCAATTGTTGCGAACGTCGACGCGTTGATGTTCCAGGCTCATTATCAACACTTTGCTGTACAGCGGTTATGTTTGCATCACTACGGCCACTACGAGCGTATTGTTTTGGTCTATTGTCATCAACAGTACACCGAGCCTCGAATTTAGCCATTAAATTAGGCACAGCTGTCTCAGAAGGAGCCTGATTACGAGGAAAAGCTGCTCGAATTTTACGAAGTGATACAGTAAAATTTTCACCATTTTGATAGTAAAATTTCACAAGTAAAATTTTTTGTTCAAGAGTGTAGCGTTCCATGGTTAAAATTTCCCAACTTTTAACTATACAAATGTTAAAGAATGACAGCTTAATTCTTGACATTTCATCGTTTAACAGCCAATTTACTTCCTAACCTCAAATTTGCCTACCCTTGATAAAGATAAATACATACTTTACTTCTCGTCTGGCCCGAAGTAAAGCGCGTAGCGCAAGACCGATTGCAATGGCGAAATACTATTGAAGACCTCTGCCCCAACCGGGGGCCTTAGGAGTTTAAACACTGTTAATTAGGTACACCACTACCAATCATTAATCTCAAACATTAACATGTACAAATGTTACGTTAAATTTTATTGTTATACAGTCTCTAGAAGAATCACGACGTACTCATAATCGACTAGAAGAAGCTCTCACGTTGGCAGCGTTATCACAATCTGTAATCTGGAAACAAACCGCTCGAACTGGAGTATTCATGCACTGGAAAGACGGCGTCGACCACGTTCAAACTTCATGGCACCAGCTCCTTTATAAAATAACTACAACAAGGCAAACCTCATTTTAATATGAACTCTTTTCTTTAGTCAAGGTAAGTGTTATTTTTAACAAGTTACGCGTGGATTGGATGTTGTTTTTTAGTATAATGTATTAAGATATTGCATAGCTTTTATTGCGGGCTTTGAGCGCGGCGACCGAATCAAGAAATTCTGTAACGAAAATAAAACCTAACACCCCCATTCCGCCTACCAAATAGCTCGCGTTCAACACATTCACAGGTTGCGCTTGTGTAGTGTTTGTGAATAAGCGCGCAGCGTGACGTCGCACTGCATGCGCATCATGAAAAGTGTTTTTTTTTATTGCTTAGATGGGTGAACGAGCTCACAGCCCACCTGGTGTTAAGTGGTTACTGGAATCCATAGACATCCACTACGTAAATGCGCCACCCACCTTGAGATATAAGTTCTAAGGTAGGCAGGGCGGTGATACCCACCCGCGCGGACTCACAAGAGGTCCTACCACCAGTAAAAGGGGACAGTTAATGTCACCTGTTAAGGGGACAGTTAATGTTTTGCTTTTGTTAATGTTTATAAATATAGAGGGTCTTATTTTATTATTGTTTTAATATTAAATTAATATTTTCTAATTATAATTGCATAAGTTGTTAAAAAATGCAATTTAATAGCTTTATCGAGACAGCCCTCGAGTGCCACACGTGTTTTTTATTACTAAAAGATCTCATAAAAAAAAATTTATGATTGAAAGATTACTGGTGGCCCGGAGGCCTTTCCAGTTTTACCAGGACAGGTGGGCGAGCAAAGGCTTAGTCAGGAGGTCCCCTTAAAAATATTGATCGATCCTGAGTACATACCGAAAGCATCTTATAACACAGTATACAACGGCTTAGGTCTTAACCACAGGGTTCTACATAGCTTCTCTGAAATTTCATATATGCAAAGATCATAACGATAATAGCTGCCATAGGACGATCTGTAGAAACGGGTCAAAAATAATTTAATAAGATGTGAACTAAAAGTAAACAAATATATTTCCACAAACATTTCCAATGAACTCGACAAATAAATATATAATTTTCCATCATGGTTCATAACAACCACAAAATGTCAACAAACACTAGGAACTACTAGGAAAACGTTTCCACAGAGCAATCGAATACATATTACTTACTATTTGTTGTAAATTTCCATTCAAAACGAGCTGCTCAGTAAATATTTTTGACATTCTACATTGAAATTCAAAGGCTTTTTTTTTATTGCATAGATGGGTGAACGAGCTCACGGCTCACCTGGTTTTAAGTGGTTACCGGAGCCCCTAGAAGTCAATCATAATGTGAATATACTGTGCAACAGAAATATATTCGGATGCCGAAATTTAATCAAACACTACATTGCCCTATCAATTTCCCCAGCAATATCCGGCAAAGGCGGAGGGGAGCGGGGTCTGTCAAGTGGCAAGTTGTTTTGACTTTTGAATAATGTACTTAGTTGAACAAATTACACTACTGATAAAGTTGAAAAATAATTACCTATGTCATCATTCATAATTATTATTTCAACTATCGCTAATGTCATATAACTTGTAACTTTGTAAGTTTAATTTACTGAAAATAGAAAAATGACCCGGAAACATACCTTTGTTGGTGCTTACGCTCATTCCGATAACAAAAGACAACTTTCTGTATGTTTCGGGTTTTTGACTATTGAAAATGGAAAGGTAAATATTAGAAAACAATTACAACTGAACATTTTATGTTAGCATTAACTTAAGTTGCTCGGTAACATCTTTAAGAGCTACATGTACATATTTATCTCTGGAAGTAAAATACATTATAAATGTTACCTAAGTGTCAGTGCACATTCAATCATAATTAACCTTAAAGCATAACTATTCCATTGCACGTTAATATTCTGTTTTAATGACATCATATTTTGTTTTAATCGCAATAAAATATTTCAGATAACACAAAAAGGATCAATTGAAGAGTTTGAAGAGCTTCTCAGTTCTGGTAAATTCAGTGAGCATATTGTAATAAATCTAAGTGATAGTCAACTAATAATTCCTGGATTTATTGACTGTCATATCCATGCTCCACAATTCCCCAACATTGGCCTCGGCTTAGACAGACCTTTACTTGAATGGCTGGACAAATATACATTCCCATTAGAAAAGAAGTACAGTGACACTGTATTTGCGAGTAAAGTCTATGATCAAGTTGTTGTAAGTTTGTATATAACATTCAAGATATTCCTTTAATGTTAAAAAATTGGTTGCATTGCATTTCCAGAGGAAATTTTACCAAATTCCAAATTACTCTTAAATTAAGTTTATAGCGTTTCCTGAGAGCTGGCTTACTTTCTTCGATGAGTAATTGACATTTCTTCTATGAGAACGAGTTAACAAAGCTTAGTTAGCAGGAAGCCTATGTATGTATTACTGGTATCCTTATTTATGGTTACTAGTTATAGTTGTACAATTCCTTCATTCCTGTCCTTCATTTTTATTAAATAATTTATACAAATCTTACTATCCCTGAGAAATAGGCATCTTGTCGTTTTCTGTACCCTTCACAATGTGTATGTAAAATGTTATGATTGTTTTAGAAGTTAAAATGTGAAAGCAATCAAATACATTTTTAATTTGTTAATATTCTGTGCAACAATAAAAATTATGTCTCTATATCAGTATTTGACATAATAAAAAAATAAGAAACTTTTCACATTTTCAGCAAAGATTGTTAAAAAATGGCACAACCACAGCTTGCTACTTTGGATCATTACATTTGGATGGTACATTAGAGCTAGTGAAGAGTGTCCTCAAGTATCATCAAAGGGCATTTGTTGGAAAAGTCAGCATGAATTTACAGAATGATGCAGGATACTATAATTCAACAGAAAAGGAATTGCAAGACGCTGAAGAGTTTGTACAGAAAGTATTAGACTATAAAGTAAGCTTCGAATTCATTTCATATATTTTATTTATTTGTTAATGTGGTTTAGTTTTCATTACTTTAGCAGAGAACAGAAACTTAAAATATACAGGCTTGAGCTATAATTGCTGAACTGAGCTGTAATTGTGATATTAGTTACTAACTTCATAGTTGTTGTCAAATACCAAGACCTCTAACCACTTGTCATTTGTGATTCCAATAAACGTTCATTTTCAATAACTATAACAAACTTAATTCAAATATAACTTGTAGGTTAATTTTATAGTTAAAATGCTTCTTTTTTATTTTCAGAATGAGCTAATTCAACCAGTTGTCACACCAAGATTTGCTGTCAGTTGTGATCATCAACTGTTAAGTGGACTTGCAATGATCGCTAACAAATATGGTTGTAGTATGCAGGTGAATAATAAACATGTTCTTTAACAATATTAAAATATATTTTAAAAGTTGAACATTAACAATTAAGACCCCTGACTGTTGATTTTTGGAAAAGCAATTGTTTCTAACAATCACAGAATACAAATTATTGTTTGATATAAGTTGTGATGGCTATATGTGTCTGGGATCACTTTCATTTTAATGTAAATTTTATACAACTCTTTTATACGATAAAAGATAAGTAACCCATTATAATTTATTCTTTATTTATGGTCTTAATTTTCAGCATTTTATTATTATTTACAGAGTCATGTGTGTGAAAATTTAAAGGAAATAAATTATGTTTTGGAAATAAATCCACGCTGCAAAAGTTATTGTGAGGTTTATGACAAGAGTAAAATTTTGCATGAAAAGGTAGAAAATAATTTTGGTATTTACTTCTTTAAATTTACGTCTTATTACATGTTACATACAATGACTAATGAACAGTTCATATATGTATATTCTTAGTTTTTGTCATGTCGTCAATATGTTTAAGTGATAAATAATAGAAATAAATACTCTAATCTCAAAAGTATCAAGTTAAAATGTTGTATGTGACAAGTTCTGGTATAGCCCACCACTGGATGCCAAATGTTTTAACAAAATTTCTGAATCTAATTAGGAACTGAATCTAGACTTCAATTATCGCAATCAAGCATTTTCTATTTGCTACTACTACTACTTTTTTACTGGTGGTAGGACCTCTTGTGAGTCAGCGCGGGTGGGTACCACCACCCTGTCTATTTCTGCCGTGAAGCAGTAATGCGTTTCGGTTTGAAGGGTGGGATAGCCGTTGTAACTATACGTGAGACCGTAGAACTTATATCTCAAGGTGGGTGGCACATTTACATTGTGGATGTCTATGGGCTCCAGTAACCACTTAACACCAAGTGGGCTGTGAGATCGTCCACCCATCTAGGCAAAAAAATTAAAAATGAAAAAGAATACTAATATCTGTTCCAGTGTATAATGGCACATGCTGTACATCTAACAGATGAAGAAATTGATTTACTGTCAAAGAAAAGAGTCTCCATAGCTCACTGTCCCGCTTCGAACACTCGCCTAAAGTCAGGCCTCTGTCCTGTTAGGAAGCTTCTGGACAATAATATTATCGTCGGTCTCGGGACAGGTGAATTTATTGTTTTTTTTAAATTCAGATATAAATAATGCAATGTGAATTAAGGAATTCACAACATACCGCACCTTAACCTAATCGTTTATAGTAAACTACCGTATCAATTATTAAAACCTACTTGATACCCAGGGCCGGATTATTTAAACTTAATACTGCTCCTGGGCAAAATCTGCCCCAATACTAGATTTTTACTTAAACTTATAGGTAGTTTATATATTTTATTTTTCAAAATTAAAATAACTAATTTATTGCAGAACCTTTATTATATGTTCTATATTCCAAAAACATGAATAGATATTTGTTTTTTTTATTCTAACAATTATATATTTGACACTAAGGGTCACTCATAATTATATTACTTCAAAAAAATATAATTAAATTTCTTTAATTTCAGAAAATAGAAAAATATATTATTATTTTAAATCTCCAAGGAAATAAATTGATTAAATTATTTTGTTATTTTGTTTAGGTACCATTTAACACTCGATTGATCGAACTATGATTTTTCTAAAATTTCATTGTAAATGACCGTTGATAATCTTTTAAATCTATCTATATATAAATGAATTGCTGTTCGTTAGTCTCGCTAAAACTCGAGAACGGCTGGACCAATTTGGCTAACTTTGGTCTTGAATTATTTGTGGAAGTCCAGAGAAGGTTTAAAAGGTAGATAAATATGAAAATGCTCGGAATTACATAAAAATAACAATTTTGTTTTTCCTTTGATGTGTCCCCCGTCAGACGGATTCTTTTTGTTTTTTTTTATGTTTTATACAAAAGTGTAGGTCTTTTATTAATCGATTGAGGCTCTACGAAGTCTGCCGGGTCAGCTAGTACAGTAATAAAAAAATGACGCTTATAATTGGTATTTTTTCTATTCAGACGTGTCCGGAGGCGACAGTGCGACAATACTTGACGCCGTGCGCAGAACGATGGATGTGTCTACGTGCTTGGAACTACAAGGTGCCGATAATTATTCACTCGATTGGAAAGAAGCGTTTTATCTTGCAACATTGGGTGGTGCTAAAGGTGCATAGTATAACTTTAATTAATCCTCAATCGAAAATAAATAAGCCCCTATTGCTGTCAGATTTTAGCTTATTTAANACAGTGCGACAATACTTGACGCCGTGCGCAGAACGATGGATGTGTCTACGTGCTTGGAACTACAAGGTGCCGATAATTATTCACTCGATTGGAAAGAAGCGTTTTATCTTGCAACATTGGGTGGTGCTAAAGGTGCATAGTATAACTTTAATTAATCCTCAATCGAAAATAAATAAGCCCCTATTGCTGTCAGATTTTAACTTATTTAAGTAAACATAAATAAAAACAATAGAGGTAAGAAAACTATAAATTAACTCAAACTAAAACATATTCTCGGCATTCGGCTTATCTCTCCTCTTAACAGCTTTTATTCGACAAAGATATAAAGTTAATCTATACTAATATATATGTAAATATATAGTGGTTTTTACGGATATTCCGTTATAAATACGGAACCATGCATCCGATTGACTTGAAACTTGGTATCCATGTAGAAAATACATGTACTTAATGGATAGGCTAATATTTATATGAGTGTTGGACTCCTTACACCAGTTGCGGGGGCGTTAATGATGAGAATCTTTGTGGGGCTGAGAAATAATAATGTTAATTTTAAATGCCCAGCGAAGCGGACGGATACAGCTAGTCAATATTAAATTCGTAATTTTTTCTTCCGGCAGCTCTGAATTTGGATGATAAGATCGGAAATTTTGAAGTTGGCAAGGATTTCGACGCGCTACTAATAGACGCATACGCTCCCGACGGCCCCATAGACGAGTACGAGTATTCCGTGGACGAAAATAAGGAAGAACATGCCGTTAGCCTTCTCCAAAGGTTCATCTATTTGGGGGACGATAGAAATATCCTCCAAGTCTATGTTAAAGGAAAGAGCGTCAAAACTATTTAAACATATTTTCTTTGTTACTTATTTACATATTATGTAAAGAATGAGAATATATATAAATTGTTACAATTTAGTTTTTTTATATTTTGGAATTCATAATTTTCAGCTGTAAGTATTTTTAGTTCAATTTAAACTTTTGCAATTGCTTGATATAACTTAGCTGTTTGGTGTGAAGAGGATACTGGAGAATAGAAACAACACAGCGTGAATTTCGCCCTCACCCGTAAGGCGAAGTCAGATTAATTGTAGAGAAGCTGCGCGCTTGAAACAGGAACATGGAGCAGGCCGGACGGTGACCCCGTAAATAATACACATAAATTAGTTATAGATAAGCAACTCAAGCACTAAACAAAAATTCTTACGGGAGTCGGCCACTAGATGGCTTCGCTTCGATTAGTCTCTCATTGCACCTGTAGAGTGCAGGAGCATATTACCTTTTTTATTTTTAATGAAGCATTTTGTAAATTTTCAGAAGCTACAAAATATGATAAAGTCTATAACAAATAAAGACTTGTATGATTTATTAATTATTATTTTCTGTGTTAAGTTCATAAAGTTTAGGGGCATCCGCTACAAGATGTCACTAGTTTCCATAAGGAAAATATATTTGTCTTAAAGTATCGCAGTTTTTTTTTATAGCTTGGGTGGACGAGCTTACAGCCTACCTGGTGTTAAGTAGTTACTGGAGCCCATAGACATCTACAACATAAATGCGCCACCCACCTTGAGATATAAGTTGTAAAGTCTCAGTATAGTTACAACGACTGCCTCATCCTTCGAACCGAAACGCATTACTGCTTCACGGCAGAAATAGGCAGGGCGGTGGTACCTACCGGTGCAGACTGACAAGAGCACTACCACCAGTAATTACGTAAATTATAATTTTGCGGGTTTCATTTTTATTACACGATGTTATTCCTTCACCGTGGAAGTCAATCGTGAACATTCGTTGAGTACGTATTTCGTCAGAAAAATTGGTACCCGCCTGAGATTCGAACACCGGTGCATCGCTCAAAATGAATGCACCGGACGTCTTATCCGTTAGGCCACGACGCCTATGGAAAACAAAGTCGACACTCCAATACACGATTAAATAATTCTTTTTTTTTAAGATTTATCGGGGTAAAGAAAAGTATTCTAAATTGGCCAATCAGGTATCAAATAAAATGAGAACCAGGGACCAAATCAAATCATGATTACGACTCATGAGGTTTTACTTTCCCCCCAATATATATAAAACCCACAAATTAATACGACTTTTCATTTTCTTTTAATGTTTATTCTTGTGTATTATTTATACTTTGTTTTAAAAAAAAAAAGTGCGATTATAATGTAAAATACAAACCGAAATTACACAAGCGTTACAATAATACTTATTTCATATTATATTTTTAATAATTAAAATAAAAAAATTTGTTACAAATTGGCTAATTACATACTAATATATTTTCATGTTATAAAAATAATTAAATTAAAGATATGAACACAACATAAATACGTTACAACCTGACGATGGATCTAGACTTTTATAAATGCAAAAAGAATAAATAAATAAAAAGGAATCCCTGGCAGAAATAAAATATGTGAATATGTGGTGCCTCAGGATTCTCAAGTCATTTTATTTAAGAAAGGAAAAATCATTGACGAAGCAGTTCCATTTTTGAATGCAAAGTTGCATTTTATATCTGAATGTAATAGATAATAATTTTAACTGTATTTTGTATCTTATTTATTTAATATACGTCAGGTTGGTACAATATTAAAGCCTCAAGATCTTCATTATACATAAAAGAAATACTCAATGCAATAGAAAGTTACGATAAACACGAAAATCGGTGGAATGATAAACATACATACATATTCGAGAGTTAACTAAATACAAAACAGTCTTGTGATAAAAATGTATTGGAAATTAAAAAAAAATTACAAACTTACAATAATTATAATAACGTACTATCCGTAATACATAAAAACGACATATTGGTACATGAATATGTAAAATGTACTACTAATTCAATATTTCATGTGATTCTCAGCATCTATCACCGAATCAGTTTACTTTGTGATGACATAAAAGTTATGTTATAAATTCTATTTGACCATAGAGTGTTTTCAAATTAATGAATATATTTCGAATACAAAGAATAACGAATTCTATATTGTTTATTTATATAGTTCTACAAACTATTATTGTTGGATTATGAAACGCGACATGCCTTTACGAATATAACGTAGTAAGCGCCCACACGGATCTTGACGTTTAGACGGATGCGATCGATCCATACACTTATTACAACAAAAACATCTTACATTTTTGTACTAAAAAAAAAACAAAGATGTTAATGAATAATAAACTCGCAATGATATCGATACGGAGTGTACCAAATAGTTGAGGACTGCTTACTTTGACGACCGCGACGCGTGCTATCGAAATAGGTCGCTACTCGCAGCCTCCGTCAAGAACAACTGTATAACTTACAAGCTTTCGCCCGCGACTCCGTCCGCGTGGAAGAGTTACTTTGGCATAACGCAAAACATTACCCCCCACTTCGTTTATGTAGATAGAAAATATTCTTGAATTATAGTATGCTAAGGAGCTGTTTAAACCCCGATTTTGAAACATTATTTATTGATGCTCTTATCTTAACGTGATATTATATAGCCTATAATAGCCTTCCTCAATAAATGGGCTATCTAACACTGAATGAATTTTTCAAATCGGACCAGTAGTTCATGAGATTAGCGCGTTCAAACAAACAAACTCTTCCGCTTTATAATATTAGTATAGATTTCTAGCCGCGTGAAGATCAGCGCCCAAGATCCGCATCGCTCCTATACCCTAATTTTTAAAGGAGGCACGCTTCGCAACGTCTACCGCGAATATTATATATACATGGAGAATATAATATAATCATCACAAAATTTCAATTAGAACTTATAAACGCGGATGCATGATTTTTACAGGTGGTAGGACCTCCTGTGAGTCCACAGGCAGGTACCACCGCCATGGCTGTGAGCTCGTCCACCCAACTAATCAATAAAAAAATAAAAAAAAATAAACTCTAACGAACATATAGCCACAAAAAATTCTTAACTCATCCAAAATTGTATACATAGTTTGAATTGTTGACATGAATATTAAAAACTTCGGATTAACGTACTTTAGAAATAAAATACTGCTAACTAAGAGTTTTCTTTCGAGTACACAATAACCGCAATACTTTAGAAATACTTCAACAATTCGAAAATTGTTAAGATTAATGCAAAATGAACGTTAAAAACATTGTATCAAGCTACAAATTCTAACAACTAACATTTTCTATTACAGCAACACCGAAATAAAGGTAAGTTTACCATTTGGCCATTTTATAACAAAATTGAATAATATAGTTACTAGCTCTACTTAGCTGCCTTTTAATATAAATTAACTAAGCTGCCTGCCTATCTTTTTAAAAATAATCAAACAATAATTTAATAATCACATCTTCAAACTAGTACAGTCCAATATTAACATTCAGTTCATACAATTTTATATTATTATTACCTTCTTAATCTTGAATTGATTGAATGACAAAATATATAGAGATGAACGTATTTGTTACCATTCAAAGCTAGATCGTCTCAAAGTTGAGACGAAATCTAATTATGCCAGTTTATTGTTATAATGAGTAATAATACCGCACGCCTAACTTGTGCCAGTAAGAAATTATTTTTTTTTTAATATATTTTTCGGAATACAATACAAAATATAATTCAGACATTGTGTGATTAATATTTTAACTATAAATAGATACTACAAGAAACTTCAGTGTTTGGACAAACATAAACTTAAGTTTTTTTTTTAAATGTAAAACAATAAATCTAATAACAGTCTTAAATTTAATACAAATATATTAAAAACTAGGTTAATTAATGTGTGCGATTGAAAGTGCATTATATTCGCCTACAATAAGAAAAAAAATCGTACGTAATACAAAAATATAAGAAGTAAATTTGGTGAGTCCAATTTAATAACAATTAAAACTAGGTATAAAAATAATAACTTCTAGTCTATTATGGGAATTTCGTAATGTCAAAAATAAAAACATATTAGATATAATGGACTGAAGCTCTATTTGCACGTGACTGACATTTGTGTGGCCAGACTCTGGAATACAAATTCCGATTTAGCCAATTTTTTTTCGACAACAATATAGTCACACAGTCATGATATTCAATTACATTTCATAAGACGTTTCAATTATAACTAGCACCTATTTTTATGTTTTAAGATCGAAAATATATATTTATATATATATCGACGCTTAAAAGGCAAACATGACTAAGCGACAATAACTGCTTTGTACATAAATGATAGGCAATAACCATATTCGATGCTCAAAAAAATAATATTTCTAAGTCTATTAATATAATTTCAATCCTACAGCTACTAGTTAGATTCTACTACAGCTAGATTCGTTAAAATAAATTTTGTTTCAGGTATTTCAACTTTAAATTAGTCTACTGTAAAGTTAACGCATTGTCGCTTAGTCGCGTTTGCCTTTCAAGCGTCGATATGTGTAATATATAATACGTCGGGACTAATATCTTAACAATTCAACAGAATTTAATATTTTGTACCATTTCCTTTAATAGACGTAATTTTTAATAAAATTTAACTATTTAAATTATTGCTACAAAATATTCGTTTAAAACTTGATACAAGAAAGCGTCAGTCTTTAAATCTGGCTCGTCACTTGTAGAATTTTCATAAAGAAAACTTATTAATTTATGTGATCAATATAAAAATTAACAAAATTGAAGAATATTCAGATAATTTTTGAGGTAGAAAAAGACATGTTCCCAATAAAAAACTTAAACAGTATATACATCTAATACACAGGAATGTTCGCATAATATTAAATGCTTCGACGTATGCCTATATGCTACGAACGTGATAAACAAATATATATATTTTTTACAACACACCGAATTTATGAAATTATTGCAATATAATTTACTATCCGTATTATAAATCAGTCCACAGTACAAAAAGGTCTTATTCTTTTGTTCCTTTTTTTATAAAGTTTCCATTAATAGCATTTAAAATCCAAACTAATAAATATCGGTAAGATTCGCTTAGAAATCAACCTTTTCTATACACCTCAAAATTTTCAAATTTCGAAAACTGGAATTCTTTTATTTATTTGTTTCAATAAATTTAATCATAATAGACAACATTGAAAATGTCCAGTATGGCAGATTGCGAATAAATTGAGCGTTGATATTTCTCTTTTACAAAATTTAAATAAACCAAAGTGAACTAACTATCCGCACATCTTCAAGTCATCCTAATGACAATCCTGATAACATTGTGAACTTAACAACGCCCACACAAACGCTGGTTAATTGAAAGTTAATTTGAGTGTGCGTTTATTATTTAATTCGCGTTACAAATTTATAAAACGGGTATCAAAAACAAGGTTAATAATTAATCAAGACGACAATTATTTCAACGTGATATATCGACCGCAAACTAGCGTACAATAAATCCGAATTAAATAATCGATATTATTGACATCCTATCAAAAAATACCCATGCACATATTGGATGCACAATATACAAAAAAAAAATGGAATGACATACAAATGCATCGTGGGACGACACGCATCGGTGTTTACCTTGATGCGGGGTGGTTCGAGCAGTGGGGTCAGGCGGTCACTTTACGAGGCTGGAGAGGGAGCGGGATCTCAGTGTCAGAGTGCGCGAGCGTGCGGCACGAGCACACGCGCGACCGCCGCGACCGACGCCGCGTACTGCGACGTTCGCCGCCTGCAACTGTACCATCACACCGGACTCGTGTCACACTACTGTACGTTCATTATCTCGTGTCTTTCAATGCAGCGCAGACATATTTTTTTTTTTAAACATATTTAGCAAGGTAAAGAGTAATACAGTGACGGAATGGTGACCAAGAATGGGTCGTATAGGTGCCGGAAGAACTATGGCACGGTAAACCAATGACATAGTCAGGACGTGGATGAGAAAATCGGGCGTTCGAATATTATGGCCAAAAAAAAGAGGAGGCAGAGGCGGATTATCCGTAAGGCAAACTAGGCACGTCGTGCCTAGGGGCGTGTAGTTACAAGGGGCGCGCGAGCTCAGAATTTTTAAATAAATAAAGAAAATAACATATCGACGATTAAGAACTAAATGTCCTGGTCTACTAAAGTCTAGAGGGATTGATGATACAACGTCATCGTAATTGCAAAAACAACTAGTTAAAATTTATAGTATTATGATGGCCATTTATGGCCGGTACAGGGGCGCCGATAAAGTGATTGCCTAGCGCGCTCTGGACCTTTAATCCGCCACTGAGAGGAGGCATATGCCCAGCAGTGGGTTTCAAAGGCCCGAAGATAAATAAACAATTTTCGTTATTAACGGTGACAGTTTTAGTCTATGAAAGACTGAGATAGAAAACTTTTGAAAGCCGCTTCTATCTTATGAGAACTAGCAGACACGTATTGTTTTTTTTTACTGCCATCCAAAAGCCTGCTTAATTCTGACTGTTTACCATGACTATGGAGATCAGTAACGCAATACTGGCAAGGCGTTGCCTTCCATACACGTCTAATGTTTCCAGCCAGTAGACCCTTGAACTGGCCACTCAATACCGTCCATTACAAAAATTGAAAATACACACAATATAACCATCCATTAACTTTAAAAATTAAAAACGTTTAAGTTTAGTAAATTCTATAAAAAAAATAACGTCTGCGTTGCAAAATCAGGCAATACATAGGTGACTGTAGCATTCAGACACGCAATGAAGCAAACTAAATGAATTAAGCACTGTGTAGATATTTGAGAATATGTAGAAAAAAAACAATAATTATCGTTTCTCCAACTTCTACTCATAATTTAGCAAATAATATATTGCTAAAATGATAAAGACTGCAGATCTTGTTCAGTAGTTCATTTACAGTCTTCAATGAAGTATTTAATTTAACAATAATACATAATTACAACACCGAATGTACATGACACAAATTAATTTTTGAAAATGTCAACAAATAGTAATAAGATTAAAGTAGAATTATTATTTAAAGCTTATTAATATTTATGAATTCAATCGAAAGCTTATTTAAAAACTAATAGAATTTAATGTAAATGTCTTATATTTAATTCATATACAAATAGTTGATGTATTTTAATATCTGTGTAATATTTTGAGTTTGTTGTGTATCAAATTTATAATTGTTAATTAAAATTCTTTGATTCAATTTAGTTAAAATATACTGGTCAGTTTCCGCTATCCAAATAACACATGCATTATTATATTTATAAACGAATATTACTAACGTTACTAAAATGATTTTTTCTCATTTTACCAAAGTTTCTTTTCGAACATCGAACATGCTACTAGGCTAGTAACGTAATTAGGTAGAAATAATTATCCTTACTGAAACCATCTCCCTGCGTTCTACACAAGTGATTATTCTAATAACTCAATAATTATAAGTTCGTAAAAAAAATTAAAAATAGAAAATATATAAAAGAGTCTCTAGTCGTGATTAGTGAATGAGTGGTGAAATCGTGATGACAGACAGACAGACAGACATAGACATACACAAACGATGGACGTGTTTCTATGTAGTATATACATGGATTTTTCCCAATACAGCATGCACGGCACCATACAATCTCATACAACCGATTCGGTGTACACGTGCGAACAAGCGAAGCGAGCCCCACAGCTAAATTAAACCGTTGCGTCAGTCAAAAGCCTCGAAGGCTTTGTCCTCCTATATGAAACCAGGGAAACGTACTTTATCATCAACTAGGACCAAAAAAAAAAGCAGTTGTCGACATGCTTTTGTTTATTATTGTTTCAATTTAATCTACGATCAACTACTAAAACATTTAATAGATCGTAGTTTAAATCAGACTACCCTCCGATCGTTTACAATTGCCCTGGTTGAGTTTAATTAAAAAAAAAATCAATTGGAACAAGTCGAGAGAATAAAACCTTCGAGAAGCGGCGGCGAGTCCTTCCGCACCGAAGCGAACAAACAACGGAAACAGTACCGGTGCGCGAGGCTCAAAATAAAAACTCAAGGCAGGCGACAAGCACGTAGAGAGCGAGGCTCTCGTCACGGCGGGCCGCGCACTCGGGGCACGAGCGGGGGCGGATGGCGGGGGCGGGGGCGGGAGCGGACGGCGTACCGACGCGCGGCCTCGGCGTCTCCAGCGAGCCGGCGCCCTGCAGGAACCACTCCGAGCGGGTTTGCATCCGCGCCCGCTGCCGCTCGTGCACCTACGCACCACCCACACACCACCTCCGTCATAACGACGCCCACGACTATACACTTACACTGTACGTAACTCCCCCTTACGACATTGAACCTAATTTTCATTTACATCGAACGCGTCTGCATGTCGCGAATGCTTGTGCCTTTTCAAGTTCAAATTCTAAGCTCAATTTTACTATGGATTTATTCGATATATATATTTTTGTAATTCAACTAAGCCTGTTTCACATTAATACGAAGACAATTACCATTTAAATTGGATTACCTACTTAGATTAAAGTACGTATCCTACAAAATGCAGAAATGTTAACAATGAAGTACCTAACTACCCATTCCATTCCAAATGTCAATGAACTTCTGGATTAATTTTGTTACCAATAAACGGGAAAGTTAGTTTTAATTAGTACTAAACCTCTACCATTTATTAGTCGAATACAAATCATAAGATGTTAATACTTACAAAAGTATGATCACAAGAAAATCCACAACCGTAGAAATTCGAGCCTCTTTATAAATATTTATTTACCTATTCTTAATTTATTACGTTAGATCTCATATTAAACATTATTAGAATCTACTGGATGGTGGAACAATTTTGTAAATTTTTTTTTTTTTTTATTCATTTTTTTAATTAATGTTTAATTTTGAAAATTTATAATACATGACATTATTAAAAACATGGGTTTCCATCAAAATACCCTCCCTAACGAAAGCATAATGGAACATTGATTGCTCTTTAAAAGGTGTGTCTGAATTTTCTAATCACACTAAGCCCATCTAGTGTTGCCATCATATACATGTGCAAATGTACCATCGTCGTAATCATTAATATACTATTACATTAAATTTGTACAGCGTGTTGTAAATGGGAAAACTTCTAAAACTAACAGATCAGCCATAGGTTTACCTAATCGTAGAAGGGGAAAACAGTCACGACTCATGCATGTGTCCAAACATGGATTATTGGGAAAAATCAATAAAAAACTAAAAACAACCTTCTTTAAATAACTGTTTCTACACGAAAGATAAAGTAATAAATAAAATATCTTCTATTTCAGCAAATTAAACGTGATGTAATTTTATAAATTGTCAAAAGATGGCGTTGTTCTCAAAAAAATATAAAACATGTTTAATAATTTTCCCAATAATTCACGTTAAGAATATTCAGAAACAGTACAGGGGAGACAGACATCTGTAGTCTACAGGTGAGTACGGAGTAAATAGTTCACCATCACTTATAAAATATATCCCTCAGTGAGCGCTAGAATTCAAAGATATATGTTTACACACGATATAAATTAGATAAGGATACAATATCCTTGTATGCGCATATCAAATAAAATACAATATGAACTATAATTAAATAATTTATAAAAAATAGTATATTTTTGAAAGTGAAAATATTAAACAAGTATATTTCTTCAACAGTCTTTTATTCATTTCTCGTTATATAGGTATTTACTACACACTTTACGCCATTGTTTTATGCTTTGTGTTACCTTACTGAGTTTGCTAAGTACATAATAATTGTATCAAAATATGATAGGGAAGAAACATCCACAAATTTAAAAAAAAAAACAGCGCTTACAAAGATATCGACTGAAATAGGGTATAAATAAAGAATAGAATTTCATTAATTCTAATAGATCGATTGAAATTCTTTATGGATAGTCTGGAAAAGAGGGGTTCAAGTAATAGCTGTAATGTTTACCTGAGGGAGATATGAGAGGCTCTTTGTGCTCTCCGCGTACTTGTTGATGGCCCGGAGCTCCTCCAGAGTCATGTGAGGACTGGAGTTACTGCATGACGATTGCGATGACGAACTGACTGATATCTGAAAAGAAAATTGAAAATCTTCGCTAATTTTTTTTCCTTCCTAAGCTGAGAGCCTTGAGAGGCTATTTCAGCGTAACCTTAACTGGTAGGTGAGCTCACGGGGCTCAAACCTGACGACGTTGTTAACACGAACCCTAGCAATAGCCGTGCTTCGCAGAATCTACCACCGGATCGGAAACGCAAGCCACTGAGAAGATCTGGCGAGAAACTCAGTGGGCTGTGTCTGAGGGTTAATTTACTCGTCGAGCCCTTCGTCGCCAGCGACGGGTTCGACGAGAACAATGACCAGCTTGAGGTACCTAAAAGCACCGTTAGTGGATCAGGTGGATCCGAAATGAGGTGTGGTCTTCGCTAGAGTACCCCTATCGAATGACGAAACTAATTCGTAATTCAAATTCTATGACATGTAATAATTAAAAAAACATCTTTACGATATCTAGTATGTACTAAAACAGTATCAGTATCGTGTATTAAAATTGAAAAGCCAATAAAATATTTCTTATTGTGCAGAATTTTAAACTCTATCTGGTCGCATGACTCGATATTAATTTCACCTGCTTAAACGTTAGGCCACCGTGGTCTCATTTAATATTGGAATTTGTTTTTTTTTTTCTACCTAAGCCGGTAACCTAGTTATGTTATGCCAGCGTATGGCATTTGTAATAAAGATAATTAAGCTGGAAAATGTAAAATAAAGTTAATGTTAACAAAACAAACGACGAACGCTCGAGATTAACGCACCTCGTGTTGTTGTTTTTCTTTGCTTAGATAGTTGGACGATAGCGTGGTATGGACATGTGATGCGTAGAGAGAAGATGCATGTGACTAGGAGATGTATGGAAATGGTAGTGCAAGGTAAAAGGGGAAGAGGTCGACCGAAGAAGACAAGGATGGAGTGTGTGAATGACGATATGAGAGAGAGAGAGAGAGACAGAGAGAAAGAAAGGAGTGAAATTGGCTGTGCCGACCCCACCTAGTGGGATACGGTGGAGAAAAAGAAGAAGAAGATTGTTAGACGAGCTCACGGCCCACCTGGTTACCGAAGCCTATGAGCATCCACAGCATTAAATGCCGCCACCCACCTTATGACATATTACTTTTTTTATTGCTTAGATGGGTGGACGAGCTCACAGCCCACCTGGTGTTAAGTGGTTACTGGAGCCCATAGACATCTACAACTTAAATGCGCCACCCACCTTGAGATATAAGTTCTAAGGTCTCAAGTATAGTTACAACGGCTGCCCCACCCTTCAAACTGAAACGCATTACTGCTTCACGGCAGAAATAGGCGGGGTGGTGGTACCCACCCGTGCGGACTCACAATTTTTTTTTTTTTAGTTAGGACTCACAAGAGATCCTTCTACCACACGTGCGCTATAAATGAGAGGGGTACCTTAAAAATGCTTTCCTCGAGCGATATCGACAGCCTGGTGCACGAGTCGAGCAAGCTGTGCTCCGGTATGATGCCGAGCACGGAGCCGGCGTTGGCGCCGCCCACAGCGCCCATCAGCGCGGGCATCGACTGACACTCTTCGGATTTCGTTAAACCTGACAATATTACCCAATTAACTTTAAACGCGCTCACGAGTTTGATACCTGAGTTTAGGGCTGAATAAAAAACTCGGATTTAAGTCTCTATAAATATTAGAACGAAAAACGATAGTAGTGGCAAACGTAGGCAAACGTTCCAACTCCATACAAATTTTTGATAATTTTTAATCTATCGAGATCATTAAAAAACTCTCACTAAGCACACAGCAACAAACTGAAATCGATTTACCGTACCGTTCTTTTACGATCGAATGTTCTCAACAAAGTGAATGAATGTATGAACGTATTTAATAATTATTTTAATGTAAAACATTATCATTTTACACAATTTTAGCTATTGTCAAATCATGCCACGCCTTTTTATTAATCAATTGGGATTTATCTTAGTTGGGTCTTTTCGATGACGTTCCAAAATTAATTTATAAATTAGAACAGCCATCAAGCGGCAATGTCTAAATTTATAAGTGACTAGCTGCACCCGTCCGTTTCGCTGGGCATTTAAAATTAACATTATTATTTCTCACCCCCACAAAGATTCTCATCATTAACGCCCCCGCAACTAGTATAGGGAGTCCAACACTCATATATAAATATTAGCCTATCCATTAAGTACATGTATTTTCTACATGGATACGAAGTTTCAAGTCAATCGGATGCATAGTTCAGTAGTTATAACGGAACATCCGAAAAAACCACTGTAGATTTATACATTAGTATAGAGTATAGATTACCTATTTAATATCCCTTGGCTTTGTTTTTGAAAGAATTTGACTGTCAAGCCCGAATTTTCTTTAATGTGATTTAATTATAAAAAAGTATTTTATCTAATCTGGACCTTGAGTGATATATTTAAAGAAGTTGTATATTATAAGTTTAATGATTATATAAAACACTATATATATTGAAATCGCATACATATTTATTAAGTACTACATTGAAACGTTACACGGATGTGCTTTTAATTAAATGAATCAACTGGAATCATATTATCGATTATGTCATTACCTATATTTATGTTAGTATGTAATGATCTAACATGGATGATGGTGATATCAACACATTACACAAGTGACACATAGTGCTACCTCAAACCCGAATTAAATAAATATTAAATACCATAAAAAAATCAAAACTATACTTTAAGTTAATAATTTTCTATTTTATCGATTCGAAATCAGACTCACCAAAAATAAGTATATTACAATATCGATTAAAGCACTTGACCTGTTTTATTTTATTTTTAATTAATTTATTTATTTAGTAACTTAAACGTGTTTCTTTTGGACGACCTGTGGAAAACACATCCTGTATATAATTGAAAAAATGTTGAAAACATTTAATTTCCACGTACGAGAGTGTTTGTAAATTTTAATAAAATAAATTTTTAACTTATGGTAGGCAGCGGCTTGGCTCTGCCCCTGGCATTGCTGACGTCCATGAGCGACGGTGACCACTTACCATCAGGTGGGCCGTATGCTCGTCTGCCTACAAAGGCAATAAAAAAAATATATTCTAAAATGAATCAAGGAAACGAAAATCAATGAAATTCGATGCGAATTCGAAATTTTCGTCATTATTATTACCTTCGAGATTGAACTTGTTCCCCCAACGGTCGCACTCGCATTGAAGCCATGTCTTTTCTGCTTCAAGCGATAATTGTCCTGAAAGAAATCAAGAACTCTTTATAACAACTAACTGGCTGCGATGACAGGGGCGAGGAAACTATTTAAAAAAAGCCGTTTGAAGTTTAGATATAGATATTAGAAAAAATGGTATGAACCGTATAAGTACAACTAAATTAACTAAAATTAAAAGTCATAACACACAAGCACTAAAAATCAGACACAATATAGATATCTACAGACAACAGAGCGGAACCTTTACGTTTTTACTGGTGGTAGAACCTCTTGTGAGTCACGGGTAGGTACCACCACCCCGCCTATTTCCGCCGTGAAGCAGTAATGCGTTTCGGTTTGAAGGGTGGGACAGCCGTTGTAACTATATTGAGACCTTAGAACTTATATCTCAAGATGGGTGGCGGCATTTACGTTGTAGATGTCTATGGGCTCCAGTAACCACTTAACACCAGGTGGGCTGTGAACTCGTCCACCCTATCTATGCATATTTTTTTAAAACTACAAATAATCGTTTATGAGTTTAAGTGTATTTTAAAATAAACCTCAAGGCTATTCGCTGAGGGTACAACAGCTCTTTATAAATATTCATTTATTACGTATACTTTAAAGCAGCCTAATTAAGAATTCACCATCCAGGGAACAATGAAGAATTGCTCTCAGAGTCTCTCATAACAAAATATCGTTTTCCTTGTTTGGAATCATTGATTTACAATGTTTCATCAACTCTCTGTTTGGAATATACAGACTCGCATACGTCACTAGTAGGTATCATGTTACATGCGCAACACGATTCTTTGAAACGATAGGTACGTGTTATAATTGCACATTCATACTGTTTTTTTTTGTTTATGCCTACCTATTGCTTTTTTTATGGGTACCAGAAACCGATAAACATACTTATTTATGTTTAAATATATACATAATAATATTATATAGATAATAAACACCCAGGAAAAGACAAAAAACCTGTTCATCACATAATGTTTGCTCGGTGTGTGAATCGAACCCACGACCCTCGGCGCAACAGTCAAGGCCGCTAACTTAAATAATTTTCAAAAAACGGACATTCGTCCCTTATTGCTAAACCTTATACAGACTATTGTGTTCTCTCTCTCTCTCTCTCTCTCTCTCTTTTCCCAGCTATTTCTCCCACACAGTGGTGGGGTCAGTTTTCCTTACTTTACTACTCCACTTCGCTCTGTCTTCGACATCCTCGTCAACAACATTGTATTATACCCTTTTGTCCTACAGCACTAGCACTTCAGCACTTGTGTTCATTGAAATAATACCAAACCGATGTAGTCGTTTGCTTTTTTTTTTTTTTTTCCTTCCTATGCTGATAGCCTTGAGAGGCTATTTCAGCTTCACCCTAACGTTAGTAGGTGAGCTCGCGGGGCTCAATCGGAGAGTTGCTAACACTGACCCTAGCAAGAGCAGTGCTCGCAGAATCTACCACCGGATCGGAAACGCGACCCACTGAGAAGATCCGGCGAGAAACTCAGTGGGCTGTGTCTATGAGTTAGTTCGCTCGTCGAGCCCTTCGTCGCAAGCGACGGGTTCGACGAGGACGGTGACCGGTGCTTGTGGTGCCTAAAAGCACCGTTAATGGATCAGGAGGATCCGTAGTGACGTGACAGTCGTTTGCAAGTGGCTCACTTACCAAACGGAATTTCGTCGCTGTCAAACCAAAATCTGCTAGCTATGTGCATAAACTCTATTTTGAATTAACGCGTAAAAACAATTTCGTATAAAATTTTATATGAAGGTGTATTTTTAAGAACTATATCAAATGAAAGCTATAGATAAATATTAAAGCTATAAAACACATAACAGTTCTTTTTATACGGTATATAAGGCTGTGAACTATACGAAAAGGTCAAAAAGTAAAAATCTCAAAAAGTGCACATAACAGATTTTGTTTTGACAGCGACGATTTAATTTTGTGATTCGCAGCTGTAGTTTCCTGAAAAGGTCAAATCGAGGTGAATCTTTATTACTCACTAGCATAAGCCTCTTGGTCTCTCCGATGTCTGGGCGGCGGAGGATCCCTGAACGAGCATATCCATTCGTCCTTGACGCGGAGAATGCGGCCCGTCACACGAGCGTAGTACTCGTAATTCTCCCTCCCGAACAGATCGCCGGCGCTGAACTGCTCGATCAGCTGACGCATTATACGGGTCGCCACCTGAATGGTTTATTTATTTATTTTTATTGCCGTATAGGCAGGCAGACGAGCATACGGCCCACCTGATGGTGAGTGGTTACCGTCGCTCACGGATGTCGGCAATGCCAGTGGCAGAGCCAAGCCGCTGCCTACCGTTTAATACTCTCCACAAGCCTCGTTTGAAGAAGGACATGTCATAGCGCTCAGGAAACACCGTGGAGGGGAGATCATTCCAAAGCCGGATGTTACGTGGCAAAGAAGATCTCTGCACTATGGATGAACTCTACTCCGGTAGCGGGCGGTGCGATGGTAAAAACGAGACTATGGTGGTATCATTTCGAACAATTCCTCAGAGCACTCCCAATGGAACATACGGTACAGAATACAGAGGGAACCGAAGTCCCTCCGCAGACCCAGAGGTTCCAAGCAATCCGTTTGCTAAGCTGGTTGAACTGAAGCTGACGGCCTACCCGGTGTTAAGTGCCCCAAGACACCAAGCAAGTCAACGCCGTCGCCCATCTTGTGACATGAATAAGTTTTATTTATTTATTAACGGCTGTTTTTTTTGTAATATAGCAAATGTGAACTTATTGCAATGAAACTTATTAGGGCGCAAACAGACTAAATATTTATATTTGAATTTGTGGTGTTCAACTATTTCGTGAAGAACGGAGAATAGCTTTCTGTCTGCTTTCAAAGAAGTTTCCCTGCATCACATTTACTGTATTTTTTTAACGCCACTGGCATACTAGCAAGAAGCATTGCAACGCACTAAACGAGCTGCTATACATTTTTACTTCACGATACCTTCACGTGGCCAGTCTCAAATCTGCGACCCAAAACACAAGCGACAGACATAATACCAATCGGTAACGAGAGCATTAATTAATTTACATTTGATCCATGTTTTCAACTATGTGCAGAATTGGATTGAATTGCAATAAGTATAAATACAGCATTACCATTTTTTTTAAAAATCCATATATTTATATTTTCCAATTAGAATAATTTAACGGTAACGATGCAATAAAAAACTAATATAAGATGCGATAAATATCAGATAATAGTATACAGCATATTATTATACTATTAATATTATTCATAAAGTAGTCTCAACTTAAAAAAACGTAAATACTTTGTAACAAAAATATCTTGAACAAAACACCAAATTAACACTAATCATACCAACACTTACTGATACCTATTTTTACCATAGCGGGTAGATACCGGTATACATACAAAAAAATAGTATTAAAAACTTCAGAGGTGTCAAGGGACACCCGGATGGAACGAAGTTCCTTTCGATTAATTAGTGAAGGAATTGTAAATTTTTTTAAAAGTTATAATAATAAATTACGGCATTATGAAGAAGAAAAAAACAATACTATGAACTAAATTACTATTGTTGAAACGCTATCTCGAGAAACTGTACTCATTACGCGGACCAATCGGATACGAGCAATGTCACGCGATAAGCGCCTACACGTTGATTGGTCAGAATGACGGATCTAAAAAGTGTCGTGACAACTTTTAGTAAGAATTTTTTCCGTCTAGCTCCCTTTCACAACGCGCGATAAGGAACTTCGTTCCAATAACTGTAGATTAATTGGTAAAAGTCTTGAAGTCAAATGTGCAAAAGCAATAAGATGATACGTGCGTTTTCAATGCAAAAGTTCAAAATGGATCATTTGACCCGTTATGATGGTATGTTTAGTGTTAACTAACAATTAATTTCATTTATTTTTTATTTTTAATACTGTTCCGATATTAAGGCGAAGTTATAAAATTATTGTACCGTCATCGATGTTTGATGTGTATGCAAATTTTGAAGCTACTCAGACGTTTTGAAGGAAGTAGGTAGATGACAAACGAGGTTCAAAGATTTCGTTACACATAAAAAAAATACACACATACATATGAAGCTAATAAAAGCGTGTTTAAAAAACGCACACTTTAAATAAGTTATAATAAGTTTCAAATTGAATCTTTAATGACTTTTAGGATCTAAATCACCATATCGAGGAGTGAAAGACTATTTGATTTAAGCGACATTTTTGCAACTTTACAGAAGAGCCATTTAAAGTTTAAAATTTGGAAAAAAAATTCATAACAAAAAAACTTCTTCAACTATTTGAATGGGGTAAACTTAATTGAAGTTCAATTAAAAATTGTTGATGCTAATACCAAACAAAACAGACCTTTAATTATAAAGATAAATATCGCGTATCTTGAATGAGACTACACGTGATGCTAAGGCTCGCTGGTAGTTTGCACAGAGAGAGAGTGACTCTGGCTATCCAACGAGGTAACCTAGCCAGTATCTTGGGGACTGTGACTCTTTCAAGCGCATCAGAAGATTTGTTCTACTGTGTGAATTGATTTATGTTAAATTATTTTGATTTCTTATTTATTAATAAAGGATAACATTTAACAATTTAATTTAAAAAAAAAACGCGTATTAAGCCAAATGTCGCATAAACCTAATAAGCCTTTCACCTTTTGATTTTACAAAATGACCAGCACTAAACTACATAAAAACAATCGATCATTATTAATCATAAAAACAAAAAACCTACACGTAGACGCGTTAAAAAACAAACACAAAAAGTATTTCCGTGCACCTAATCCAATTAAGTCAGTTATCAACGTATTATAATGAATCAGCCACAAACGGTAAGTGAGTAATTGTTTCCACGAAGCGTAGGTATATCAAAGATGCGTTTATGATGGCATTTTAAGGACTTGGGCATTTCGTAATTGTCACTCTTTTAATTAGTTAGATGCGTGATGTAAATTGGTTATCGGAGACCATAGACAGCATAAAGGCCGCCACCCACCTTGAGATACGAATTCAAGTTTCTATAGTTTTTTTTTTCCGACCTATTCTAGTGACCTCGAAGTGTCATGTTAGATTCACCGAACGAGTAGGTGAGCTCACGGGGCTCTAACCTGTGGACGTTGCTAACACTAACCCTAGCAAGAGCAGTGCTTCGCAGAATCAAACACCGAATCGGAAACACGAGACACTAAGATGCGGTGAGAAACTCAACGGGCTTCTATGGTATAACTGTTACTATATCATTAAGTTACAATTTATAACTGTTATAAATTGTTACTTAATGATCAAAATTAAATGTCAAACGCAGTTATTATTTAAAAAAAAGTTTATTGCGCATACGTGATCTAAACCAGCTAAAAGCCGCTGAACGTAACTTCGCGGGATTCTCCAAAAAGTACACTGAAAAAGTCTCCGTAAATAACCACCATTTTACTGAGATTATATTTCATCCCATATCATTTCATTTCGTTTCATTTCAGATTAGGCTGTATAGTATGCTACCTTTGCCTTTCCAGTTGGAAAAATAAAACTACTACTACTAAACCAGCTATATCTTTAATATCAGTTGTTAACCTTTTATTACTACTTACATTTAAATAAGACGCTTTGAGACAACCATCCTGAAACATCTTATGCACTACAAAAATTGCCACACGATTTGTTACGAAAATATCATTAATTCAGTTACTTATTAGAGTGAGAGTAAATTACAATATTTTGGTAGGCAAATTTATAACTTTCAAATATTATAATTTCCTAATTAGTAAAACGCGGCTATGTTTCTTATATATTTATTATTTATTATATTTATATACAAATTATACAAATTCCGTACGAGAAATCTCCTCCAATGCAGATTGTGTAATATAGACAAGTTCCCTTTCAAAACTTCAGATACCTCACCGCAACGGACATATAGTTTTATATTGATTTTTTTTTTTAGAGACAATGTCAGCGTCATCGGAGTAGTAGGTGAGCTCACGGGGCTGAAACCTGAAGATGTTTCTAACACTAACCCTAGCAAGAGCCTCGCAGAATCTACCACCGGATCGGAAACGCGACCCACTGAGAAGATCCGGCGAGAAACTCAGTGGGCTGTGTCTGAGGGTTAATTTACTCGCCGAGCCCTTCGTCGCAAGCGACGGGTTCGACGAGAACGATGACCGGTGCTTGGGGTACCTAAAAGCTGCATTGATCGTTAGCGCTATTAAGATTATGCCAACATTGTAGTACAATAAAAGGTCTTGATTCGCACGGAATGTGTTCCGTAAATATTGAATAGCCAATACAGAAACCGTGAATATGGAATGGTAATTTACATATATAGAATTATAAGTGATGCGTTTCTAGGGGACAAAATAAAAAAAAATACTTTAGGCATATTTAATTTTGTAATAAGGCCTATTTTACTTTTTTTATTAGTCCATTTGACGACGCGTTTACAAATAATATTCAGTTGGATACCTACCTACATATTGGAATCATTTTTATCAATGTGTATGTACCGAGTAACCGATTAGATGCGCGAATAAACTTTTACTGTAGGTTATATTTAACATCTGTGTTAATTAACGATTATTAATAATTTTTAATATGATAATTATTGTTTAGAGTATTTTTTATATATATATTAGGACACCTTGAAGAATAATATGTTTCCCGTTAAGACGTACGCCTGTAGCACAAAGAACACACTAGGCTTTCATGTTTCACTGTTGTCGTGTTAGGGTTAGCCGACGGACGCACCTACGCTTTACAATCAACCTCTCTCTATGTTAATTGTCATTATAGCAACAGTCAGTAAGTAGCTGGCCACGTGAACGACATATAAAGACATACATTACAAACATATAAGTGACATGTGCCTTTGCTCGCCCACCTATTGATTGCACAGAGTGTAAGCGAATCGAAAGCCGAAACGATAATAAACTTTACAGAATATTTATTCTGATCGTTTTAAAATTTCAAAATACGAATTTGTTTTTTTCTTTACGCGCAATGTAACGAAACAAAAATCAGCTGGGCTATGACCTCGCGAGACCTCGGTCCGCCAGCTGCCTATTACGTATTCTCGATTTGAACTTGATAATACATTTTTTTTAATGTTATCTAATTTGTTATATATTTTTGTCCGTTTATGAGTGAGTTAATTCAATTATCATTTCGACCTCGAGACTTCCTTTACACAATCTAGACGTTATAGACAATCTGATAAAAATAATCCAAAATTGATTTTATTCCAACTTAATCCATATTATGAATCTAAAATACAAATGCGCTCAGATCTACTGTGAATTACTAAACCAGAAGCCAATAACTAAATCCTAGAGCATTGCATTTTTATTAACAAACATTACCTATCTATGCAACCGAAGAAATAAAAAGAGGTAACATACATTTAAAGCCCGACTAATAGAAGAAGCGTTTCTAATAGGGAAAGGCGATTGATGATTTAACTGTTCCGTAATTGTATTGTACTCACGCAAACTTCAGCCTTTCGCCGCATGTATTACAGATACATTTCGTTAAAAACAAATTATAAGCTATTTACAGTTAATTTATTAGCTAAATATAAAAAAAGTGCAGTGATTGATGAGAACACGATGTTGCTTTGTGTATATCAATTCAACGATGAAATTTTAATATTTTTATTGTTACGTCCAAAAAATCACACACTGTATAAGAATGTCTTTGAAAATATTTCTATCAGCCCTAAAGCCGCTAATCTTATTAATTATTATAAATTATTTCAACTTTTACTATCCGAAAGTAGGCGGTGTCGCAATTAAGAGTTTTCTATGTTAATTATAATTTAAATTTATTAGTTTTGTAACTTTTTATATTTCAACGTAATGAAAAACAGTAACGCATTGTAAAAGATACTTAAGAGTTCATACATCATAGACAAGCAAAGAGTAATTATCAGTTTTATGTCCTTCACCGTGGACGTCAATCGTGAACATTTCTTAAGTACGTATTTCATTAAGAAAATTGGTACTTGCCTGCGGGATTCGAACACCGGTGCATCGCTCGATACAAATGCACCAGACGTCTTATCCTTTAGGCCACCACGACTTCCAACTTCGTTCATACATCAAAGCAATCTTATACCTTTAAACGAGCAATTCTTGTATATATATATAATCTGAATCTCGGAAACGGCTCCAACGATTTTCATAAAATTTTGTATACAGGGGATTTCGGGGGCGATAAATCCATCTAGCTACGATTTATTTTCAGAAAATGTTGTTTTATTCGTGTTTTCATTAATGAACTCTTCCCGACATCTATTGGCGAATAATAATACTATTATTCTTAATTGAAGGCAACTAACCGCTTTAAAGAAACAACAAGATGGCGTTATCAAAAAAAAAAAACCGAGCAAAACTCATCTAGTAACGTAAAAACGCGCTCAATGAATTCCCCTGTATGTCGCATAAAATAAATTGGGCCACCGTACAACGCAGTTCACACATACATACGCCGGATTGCGTAAACTCAGGATAATTCAAATTTAACATCCCACTATCTGATAAGGAAACACTATTAGAACTCCATTTAGCTAAACTACGATAAAAAAACACCTCGCTTATATTGACTTATACATTGCGATAAGACGGATTAATGACATTTGTTCTCGCCATAACGTAATGGATGTACCTACGTACATACGATCGCAAAAAAACATCGTGTTCCCATCGATTCTGTAAATCGAATCGATATGTCTGTGTATATCGATTAGTGAAACTATTCGCGTACTGTAACCGTGTGTTTTTTACAAAGCTCATAAAATCGTTTCGTATTTATAAACGTATTGTTATCTGAGAGACAGTGTTGTAACGTATTCGATGCCATGTGTTCATCGATCACACAGCCGCCGATAAGATTATCGTGTTTCGAAACAGCGGAGAAGTCTCCAATGATACAAATAATTTCCCTCGAGACGAGAAAGTCTTCCGGCCTTTTTTCATCAAATCGATCAATTAATCAACTCGAGTAAATAAATATTGTACTCTGTGAGTCGTCATTATTAATTAGACGAAAGTCTGTAACTAATAATAATAGTAATAGAACACAAAATACTTTGAGATTTCGAGACAATAATATTTTAAAAGTTTTTTTTTGTGTGACGGTAGTTTTAATTTTTGTAACAAGCAAAATAAAAATTAATCAAAATACATTTATCAATATTATCATAGTATGTACATAATTACGATTAAAATAAATTTTACGATTGAGGCGAAAAAAATTATATTAATTTTTTTTTTTTACTATGCTTCAGTATTCCGTGTCAAGTTATCGAGTAGGTATCAGAATCTAACGCGGGTGAAAATACAGGGAACGGTTAGTCAATCGAAAATTCACCTATCGCACGGTTCACGAAGGGTCATTGTATTTACGTGTGCGTGTGTGCGTGTATACGCGCGTGCGTGTTGTCGCGGACGTGTCGCAACTGACCTTGAAACGCTGCACATCCTCCATTGTGGCCGTTTTACCGTCCGACACGCAAGAGTGGAAAAACGAAGGCGCCACCGACACGCCTAGAGCTTCCGATGTCATGCCTGTACCTGAAAATTAATATCATCTATATATTAATACGGGAAGCAAAAACTTTGTATCCCTTTTTACGAAAATTGCGCGGACGGAGGAGTATGAAATTTTCCACACTTATAGAGAATATAGAGAAGAAGTGCACAATGCTAATATTTTTTTAAAATAATACATAAAATATATATTAAATCAATAAAGAAAACATTACACACACTACATACCATGTATTTGACGCACACACGCATGCACACTATTTATTGTCAAACTTTTGTTCTTGACGTGTGTGGTCAAATTGAGAATAGATTAAATATTGTTTGTCTTTATTAATATTTTTTATAGTGTAGCCTTTGCGAAATTTGTGATTATAGAAGTATAAAATATTATACAATCATAATAGTGTACAAACTTATTATACAATTCCAATTAATTATAGTCGAATTTCGACTACTGCGGGACCTCTAGTAATTTCAATACGGCAGTTGCCTAATCAAAAAATAAATAATAGTTTAAAAAAACTAACAAAATACGGTTTTATAGAAAATTCAATTAAAAAATAGAAAATAAATTTTAATAAATTTGAATTAAAAATAGTGTAAGATAAAATGATTTTATTGTAAAAAAAAGCGTGAGGTGCTTTTCAGGATATTATTAAAATAACCCTTCTACTCATATCTGTTCATAAAATATATCGGTCCTTAATAAGTACATATACCAAATTTCGAGTTAATCCGACGTTTTGAAGGGGGTCAAAATCATGTTCAAAGATTCCGTTACATACTAACATACATACGTCTGAAGCTAATATAAGCGTGTTAAAAACATACAACAATGACGAAGTTATCAATAAACAAGGTGTAACCCAGCAACCATATTTCCTCTTGCATCGAACATCAGAGATTGTTTTTGTTCAAAAAGCTTGCTTTTTCCTACCTATGCTGGTAGCCTCGATAGGTTATGCCAGCTTAACAGACAAAAGTGATAGGAATCCTTCGAACAGGATAGACAATACAGGCTGTTTATTATCTACTGCATAATATTTGTCGTTCATTATAATTCATATACTATAGTGTAATCTTATAATAATATCGTATTTTATCTTGAGCATCTTTCTTAGCGTGCACATCAAAATAAACATTATAAATTAATTAATGTTATCATATCTATTGGGTAAAGTATCACAGACTGATTTCGTATTCGTTCGTGACGCACGTATTTACCCGACGTACATATTATATGAGTATGTGCGTTTCTATATTATGAATGCACCATATACGTGATCGACAAACGACCGTCTGTGCATTTATTATCAAAATATGGACGTTCGTTTTATTGTGAGGGATCGCGATGTACGTGGTACTGACATTGTCATTGTCATTTATTTTTTTATTGCTTAGATGGGTGGACAGCCATAGCTCACAGCCCGCCTGGTGTTCAGTGGTTACTGGAGCCCATAGACATCTACAATGTAAACCACTGTACAATGTAAATCTCCACCATCCACCTTGAGATATAAGTTCTAAGGTCTCAGTATAGTTACAACGGCTGCCCCACCCTTCAAAAAACGCATTACTGCTTCACGGCAGAAATAGGTGAACTAGTTTGTATCTGGAAGTTTCAGTGATGGCGCTCTCGAACTGTCTAGTTGTTAAAATGTTACCAGAGCTCATAGACACCTGAACCTACATTCGATCACCGCCCACGGGGTTCAAATCAAATCGGTTATATAGGTGTTAGGATTGATAGAATGCACGATTGCATCGCAGCAGAAATAGGCAAAACTGTGACACTTATAAGCTGACATATCTCCCTATCAACATTTCCCAATCGCAATGCAGGTGGATCTTGATTTCCACAGTGAAGGAATAACATCGTGTAATAAAAATAAAACCCGCAAAATTATAATTTGCGTAATTACTGGTGGTATGACCTCTTGTGAGTCCGCGCGGATAGGTACCACCACTCTGCCTATTTCTGCCGTGAAGCAGTAATGCGTTTTTGAAGGGTGGGGCAGCCATTGTAACTATACTGAGACCCTTAGAACTTATATCTCAAGGTGGGTGGCGCATTTACATTGTATATGTCTATGGGCTCCAGTAACCACTTAACACCAGATAGGCTGTGAGCTCGTCCACCGATCTAAGCAATAAAAAAAAAAACTAAAATAGCGTCACAGCTACAAACAACGAAACTATAGTCAAAATAACAAAACAAAGTAATATTTAGTAACACTTGTGTCAAACATGGCTTAACAAGATTATTCAGAGCGTGAAGGTAAGTAATAATAACTCGAAGCATAATATTAAAAGACTTTTTAAATTTCACTCTCGTCTTGATTAATATCACGCGCCCGCCATTTTATACACACTGACTTCCAGTTATTGGAAAAATGTGTTTTTTTTTAATGCATAATTACCTACACCTATTTCACTGTTCGATTTAGAAGTCAGTTAGGAGAAAACTTGTTAAAAAGCGTTAAACTCATCTGTTTTTTTTTTTTAATTGGTTTTGTAGGCAGACAAGCATATGACACATGTGATAGAAAGTGGTTACCGTGGCTGATTGATGTCATCTATGCCAGGAACATAGCCAAGTCGCTGCTAAGTACTCGTCGCAAAACTCGTTTGAAGAGAGACATATAAAGTGATCATGAAACAGATTGGAGGGAAGTTCATACCAAGTCCAAGGGTACATGGTAGAATGATACCTCGAATACCTGTGGATAGCAGTAGCTCTAGGTAGCATGAAATAACAACTCTCCCCCAGTAGCGGGCTGTGCAATGATTGAAATGAGATCACGCGACACACAATTCCTCGGAGCAAATATTTAAATATTTGTAACTAAATTATCTCCATGGCTCTCCATCTATATATTAATACGTGAAGCAAAAACTTTGCATCCCTTTTTACGAAAATTGCGCGGACGGAGGAGTATGAAATTTTCGACACTTATAGAGAAGAAGTGCACAATGCTAATATTTTTTTTAAATAATGCATAAAAGATACATTAAATCAATAAAGAAAACATTACACACACTACATACCATGTATTTGACGCACACACGCACGCATACTATTTATTATCAAACTTTTGTTCTTGACGTCTGTTGTCAAATTTAAATTATATATTGTTTGTCTTTGATAATATTATTTATAGTGTAGTCTTGGCGAAATTTGTGATTATAGAAATATACAATACAATCATAATAGTGTACAAACTTACAATTCCAATTAATTATAGTCGAATTTCGACTACTGCAGGACCTCTAGTATTTTATTATTGTTTTAAATATTTTCATGAATTGACGTATCACAGTTCTAACGGTATTTACCATGGTTTTTCGATAGGCACTTGTTTATTGTTAATCTCGAAGCCAAGAAATCGAACAAACCATATTCAAACGAAAGATAATAAAAATACGCGACGTTTCTGAGAATGTCGATGTTATTGCCGGTTAAAATCAAAAGAAACCGAAAGAGGTCAAACAATAAAATCTAAAGTGTTACGTTTTAGTTTTATACCCAGACAGAGGGTTCGATCTAGGCCAAGTGGAGATGCCACAATGATTAAATAATCGTTCGAAGATTACTTTTAGCAGGCGAACTAATTCTCAAAGCAAACAACAGAGTTAAACTCTCCTTGCGTATTTACCATCAAAAACTTTACTTTTCTTTTGTAATATTCAAATATATTATACTGGTGTATTTAAAAAATATATGTATTATTGAATATTTACAAATTTCGCATAAAAAATAAATATATATGATATTTTCATGGTAAATGGTGGTAATATTTCACGGATCCAAAAACCGACTTTTAGTTTTAGACCCAGAGTAACACAAGTAACATTTATCGCGAGAATATAGTGCTTCATTATTTTGAGGTGCAACACCAAAGCAGAGTGAAACCGCGAGGCACGTCTATTAAATAATTCTGTTTAATTGAGTTAACAATGGAATATTCGATTAGGGGTTCCAATCCCGCGTCTGTGAGACCCGACATCCTCGTATAATACCACCAAATGTAAGTACTGTAAACTGGACAAGAGCAAGGCCTGGTATGCACAATACGCCGTTCTTCTTACGAAACTTTGAAGTTTACTGGTGGTAGGAACTCTTGTGAGTTCGCACGGGTAGGTACCACCACCCTGCCTATTTCTGCCGTGAAGCGTTTCGGTTTGAAGAGTGGGGCAGCCGTTGTAACTATACTGAGACCTTAGAACTCATATCTCAAGGTGGGTGGCAGCATTTACGTTGTAGATGTCTATGGGCTCCAGTAACCACTTAACACCAGATGGACTGTGAGCTCGTAGAACCATCTATGCAATAAAAATAAAAAATAAAAATAACAAACACGTCACTGTGAACTGATCATCACGGCCTATTACTACAGTAGTTATGGGAGTCCATAAACGATACAACGTGAACGCCATCACGTACTTCAGAATCTGACCCTTGAATTTGCAGCCCGAGATTAAGGGGCATAAATGACAACAAGGCCATTGGGTAGATAAAGTTTTAATTGTTACGCGCCTACGCAAAACCTCGTCTAATTGGCATTTGGCATAATTACAACTGCTAATGTTTCGCAGTTCGGTAATGCCAAGTGTTTGTTAATCTATACTGGCGTTCGTCAATCAATCAATCAATGTATTCACGTTATCGATCGCTTCAGCAATTGCTGAAACACCCGATAGATCCTGACCTAGGAGTGCTCTTATCAACGTAAATTAGGTACGCAGTTACGTGCTTTAAAAAAACCCACTTTCGATTGACCTATTCTGTAGCCAAAGGCGACACCAACGTGAACCTTTTGTGTTTATTGTACACTTCTAAATATACAATTGAGGTGTACGTGATTTGCCTTTATTTCTGTATGACGCTGCAAGCCCTTTTGATTCAAATGACTATTTTATTTAAAGAGCGCGAAATTTGTTATCTCTATATATAAAAATTAATTGATGTTCGTTTGTCTCGCTAAAACTCGAGAACGGCTGGACCGATTTGGCTAATTTTGGTCTTGAATTATTCGTGGAAGTCCAGGGAAGTTTTAAAAGGTGAGAAAATATAAAAAAGGTCGGAATTATATAAAAACAAACAATTTTGTTTTTCCTTTGATGTGTCCCCTTGATGTCTCTTTTATTTATAGATTGGGGCACTACGAAGTATGCCGGGTCAGCTAGTGCTTGATTAAAATAAACCAATAGGCATCAAAACGTAAATGTCGCCATCCATATTAAAACATGGAGTCGAATTGTTTATTTTTATTGCCCAAACCTATCCTACTAATCAAAATATGTAATTACACGGGGTCGAAATATTTAAGACGGTGGTGGTAAAGTATAATACACCACGCCAACATGATGACGTTTGGCAATGGTGGTTTTGTGGTACTCGAGTAAGTTTGCCTATTCTCCGATTAGTTACATTTTACGAACACACACAGAAAGAGACTAGTAGATGCTATCCAGAGTCAGCATCACGCAAGCATAATGTGCTTTGTAATTTTAGCTATATGTTTAGATATTTGACGGCAAAGCCTGCTAGTTTGACTAAATTACCGCACGGGTAGGGACCACCACCCTGCCTATTTCTGCCTTGAAGCAGTAATGCGTTTTGGTTTGAATAGTGGGGCAGCCGTTGTAACTATACTGAGACCTCAGAACCCATATCTCAAGATGGGTGGCGGCATTTATTCTGTATATGTCTATGGGCTCCAGTGAGCATTTAACACCAGGTGGGCTGTGAGCTCGTCCATCCATCTAAACCATAAAAAAAATTTGTAACAATTCGCAAATTGAAAACTATCAGTTTTCGTAGCATTGACGACTTTGTTTGGAAGCAATATGGTGATGTTCCAACTAAACGCACGTGTTGAACTAACAAGAAACGATCGCGGCTATCGGCGTGAGAACATAATCCCTGAGAACGAGGTTTTCGTTGGAAATTACGCTGTAATTGAAACATCATCGCGTGTTTTTCCACAACGATGAAATACCTACTCGTATACATCAAAATTAACATTTCTCTCAAACAATACTTGATGGAGTATTTTATTCGATTTTTGGGAGTAGTAGACATAATTAAAACTACATTTATGGTTTAACCGGTCATCGTTCTCGTCGAACCTATCGCTTGCGACGAAGGGCTCGACGAGTTAATTAACCCTCAGACACAGCCCACTGAGTTTCTCGCCGGATCTTCTCAGTGGGTCGCGTTTCCGATCCGGTGGTAGATTCTGCGAAGCGCGGCTCTTGCTAGGGTTCATGTTAGCAACGTCATCAGGTTTGAGCCCCGTGAGCTCACCTACTAGTTAAGGCCACGCTGATATAGCCTCTCAAGTCTTTGCAAGTTTAGGTAGGAAAAAAAAGGTTTAATCTCGCATTTTTCTTTTGATTTACATTTCCGATGTTTGGAACACCATACGGCCATAGACCATACGTCCGTAGGCATTCTCGGGGAAACCAGTGTACGCAATCACCCTAGAATAAATGAGATAAGATTTTCAAATATCTTAACTCGTGTATTTTAAAGTTGTTATTTCTTACAAATAAAATCCCTCTAATCATGTATGCCACTAACAAGTTTGCTTATGTAACAACAAAACACGCGAAATTAAACGGTAAAAGTAATTTTAATTAAGACATGATAGAACACTAAAAGAATAGGACGTGTATAGAAAAATAACTAGTTAGAAAAAAAACTCAATTCATTATTTACAACTCTAATTCGTTTTCATTGTTCAATTTTAATATAAAAAAATCAGCTTGCTCTAGAGAACATTAAACACGTTTCCGAATCTATGATTCCCACGGAACAAACTGATATTTAAATAATATACATAAGTTACAAGATTTTTATGATTATCTATTAAAAACGTAATTTCATAGTTTTCTATGCTAATATTATAAAGAGGAAAGATTTGTTTGTTTGTTTGTATTGAATAGGCTCCGAAACTACTGAACCGATTTGAAAAATTCTTTAACAGCTTGGAAACTATTCTATTCCCGAGTGACATAGACTATAATCTTTTTTGAAAAAAATTAGGGATCCTTACTAAAACTACAATAATGTAACCGAAGGCGTAAAAAAATTACCTAAAATATTATTTACATCGCGTCGTGCCCTGCAAAAACTATTGATGATAGAATAAAATAATGTACTACGACTTTGTAGAACACATTATTATTTACAAAAAGTGTCGCGACAGTATATGTCTAACTATTATAGTTATGCCGCAATAAGTGTTCTTTTATTTAAAAAAATAAAACAACGTCAAACATCGTTGAAATTTTTGTTAAAGACCCGAGCGGAGCCGGAGCGGGCCGCTTGTAAAGTAATAATTTGCGGTTTAATCTCGCATTGAATTTCTTCCGCAAACATCCGTCATTTCGAATACCTAGTTCACACAATTCGATTTACGGACGAGTACGCAAACCACAACACGACGACGACCGCTCTGTCAATAATTTTACGACAAATAATTGTAAATAGAAATGCTTTAACAAAAACCGACTTTAAATAGCAAAAAAAAAAGATATTCCGAAACAAATTAATATACACTAAAAACAATAATCATCGAAATCGGTTGGCGTGATATGCAAATTTAAGACTTATATTGGTTTTCTCATGTACCTATACCATTATTAGAACTGGACTAAATTGAAAAAAATGGGACCACACGGGAAGCTTCAGCTTTCTAATGAAAAAAAAAATCATCAAAATCGATTCACCCAGTCAAAAGTTATGAGGTACCAACATAAAAAAACATAGTCGAATTGAGAACCTCCTCCATTTTTTAAGTCGGTTAAAAAAAAAATTCAATCTAATTATGAACATCGTGGATTAACAATGCACTCTGTGATGTTCGATTTAAGCTGTTTGCTTTTTTAACATCGCGAGTTAATAAAGCAGACGCTATATAACAGTTCAAACATAAAGAATAAAAAAAATTTTTTTTTTTGAGAAAAAACAAAAAAAGCCCGCTGAATTTGTTTCGCCGGTTCTTCTCAGGACTGTGGCTTTTTTTGGAACCGGTGGTAGAGTTAACATTGTTATTTATATTTTGACATTCAATAAGTGTGTGACATTTATGTTGAAATAAATGATTTTGAAATTGAATTGAATTTGAATACAAACCCGCTTTGTCAGCGTTGGAAGCCATCACCCGGAACGTACCAAACAACAGTACCAATAATCGCTGCGTGCAAACGGGCAGTGACATTAGCAATCTGCGAACAAAAGCTATAGTCAGTGGATTAAGTGTAGGTACTCGGCGGAAAACGTGGTACGACAAACTAAAAAAAATTCTAAAACATTTTTTTTTTATTGCTTAGGTGGGTGGACGAGCTCACAGCCCACCTGGTGTTAAGTGGTTACTGGAGCCCATAGACATCCACAACGTAAATGCGCCACCCACCTTGAGATATAAGTTCTAAGGTCTCAAATATAGTTACAACGGCTGCCCCACCGTTCAAACCGAAACGCATGACTGCTTCACGGCAGAAATAGACAGGGTGGTGGAACCTACCCGCGCGTACTCACAAGAGATCCTACCACCAGTAAACCAAGTTCACACAGTTCTTCAGCTATTTGAATGGCTTAAACTTAATTGAAGTTCAATCAAGTTAATACCAAATACAAAGCAACTTTAATTACAAAGATAAATGTTATGTATTAAGCGAAATGTCGTTTAAACCATATAGCCTTTCACCTCTCGATATACTATACTATTATTATTATTATTGAAGAACGGAGTCCATATACAGCTTAAATTCTATCGACATATGAGATAAAATCTAATATATAAAATTCTCGTGTCACAATGTTCGTTCCCATACTCCTCCGAAACCGCTTAATCGCTCATGAATTTTTTTATGCATATTCAGTAAGCCTGAGAATCGGCTACTATCTATTTTTCATACCCCTAAGTGATTAGGGTTGTCCACCCCTAACATATTTTTTTTATTTGGACATTTTTTTTGTTATAATGAGGTATTATGTGGTTGAATGGGGTTTTGTTATTTTTATTATATATTCCCTCATCGTTCACAGCACTACATACCTCTTTCACTCATTTACCACATCCTTACACACTTACAATAAGTTAGTTTTTTTTTTCTACACTAGAAATTCCCTAGAAATCTTATATATGGCAAAACAATGTTTGCCGGGTCAGCTAGTTATCTATAAGAGTTACCCCGCCCTTCAAAAAGGAAATCATGCTGATGGATGATGGTATGTGTTTGTGGGAACTCACAACACTCTTTTAGCACTAGTGTCCCAAACTCAGCGAACTTGTAGTTTTTACTTTCCAATCATCCGTCCGTAGTAACAGTATTCTTAGCTTATTTTCCGACCAGACTCTAAGCCTGATTTGTATAGTGAATACGTGTAGTAAGTTACGTAATTACCATCCGTATTTCTATTCAAAATTTCTAATTATAAGATTAAAATTAACTTTACTATATATAGTAAGAACTGACGATGAACATAATGCGAGACATTCGTAAATGAATTACAAATTAATTATTCTGCTCTGATTATTTTATGATAATGATTTTCTAAAATGACCTTCACGAGAATGTGAAATCCAACTTTTAGCAACGGTGATGAAACGAAACAAACCGTGATAGACTTAAAACAATTAGATGGAATATCTTATAGTGTGACCAAACATCGATTTGTCGAATAAGATCTACTAGCCTTTGTTATCAAGGTGGGTGGCGGTATTTGCGTTGTCGAAATCTATGGTTTCCTATAACCACTTAAGACCGGGTGAGTCGTGAGCTCGTTCCCACATTTAAGCGACACAAACAACTGATGTATATAGTTATAAAAGTGACAGCTACCGAACAACGTCGCCGTCGCCCTAAGCCCGTCATTTCGGATCCTCCCGATCCACTAACGGTGCTTTTAGGTACCTCAAGCACCGGTCATCGTTCTCGTCGAACCCGTCGCTTGCGACGAAGGGCTCAGCGAGTAAATTAACCCACAGACAATCCACTGAGTTTCTCGCCGGATCTTCTCAGTGGGTCACGTTTCCGATCCGGTGGTAGATTCTGCGAAGCATTGCTTTTGCTAGGGTTAGTATTAGCAACGTCGTCAGGTTTGAGCCCCGTGAGCTCACCTACTTGTTAGGTTACGGTGACAGCCTCTCAAGGCTATCAGCTAAGGTAGGATAAAAAAATAAAGCTATCTCTATTAGAATATTAACAGTCAACAAGTTTAGACATAACAGAAAGCTGTCTTATAACCGCATACTCTAGATAAACTTGGGATAAACTGCAATGTACTCTAGTAATTGATTAGGTACTACATTTTAGAAGACCCCGCCGAAAATATCACGGGTCACGGAGGTTAAGATCCGTATCAGCGGGCATAAGCATCACAGGCGGCGTGCGACTCGTTAACGCATGAATAGCCGTTCGTTGCGGGGTCTTGCTCAACGCGGACACAACGCCACATTATACAACATGCGGCAATATGAATACGCAATGTACAGTAATGCGATTAGCACGTTTGTTTAATATGTAACATGATTCAACTTCAGAATGGATTATCGGCTAGCATCGATTTACAACTTCCTATTTTTATCGGTCGTCCGTAATGAGATTCAATTAGGTCTTTCAGCCAAGATCAAATCTGAACAATCGCTCAAATACTTTGAAACGTAATGTATTACAATAAAATCCGAACGTTTCCAATCTATCTCTAATGTTTACACGCCTGATGATGGAGTAGTTAACATATCGTGCGCTCGATTCCCACTTCGGGAAACATTCGTGTAACGGACGGTTTTTTTTTTCTACTAAGCTGAGAGCCTTGAGAGGCTATATCAGCGTAACCTTAGCTAGTAGGTAAGCTCACGGGGCGCAAACTTGACGACGTTGCTAACACGAACCCTAGCAAGAGCCGTGCTTCGCAGAATCTACCATCGGATCGGAAACGCGACCCACTGAGAAGATCCGGCGGAAACTCAGTGGGCTGTGTCTATGGGTTAATTTACTCGTCAAGCCCTTCGTCGCGAGCGACGGATTCCGCCAGGACGGTGACCGGTGCTTGAGGTACCTAAAAGCATCGTTAAAGGAACGAGAGGATCCGTGAAGACGTGTTTAGGGCGACGTCGACTGTTTACCATTCGGTACACAGAATCGGGTGATGACAACAGTGCCACGGCATTTGAATATGGGTATAGTTCTTGTCTCGTTTATCACACAAGAGAAATTAAATCCAAACTTGAAGTCGTTCAATTTCATTTGTTTAAACCGGAAAAAAAGTGCCTTCATCAAGAATTTCTTTTCGCAACACCCGTAGATACATACATCTACTGGACATTTTGTTCGATGAATTAGTCGAATATCACTACATAGTATAAAACAAAGTCGCTTTCTGTCCCTATATCCCTATGTATGCTTAAATCTTTAAAACTACGGATTTTAATGCGGTTTTCTTTAATAGATAGAGTGATTGAAGAGGTTTATATGTATAATAACATACATTAAATAGTGGAGAAATCAATAATAAATGACAGTTTCCGAAGCGAAGCGAGGGCGGGTCTCTAGTATCTTAATATTTCTATATCGCAGAACCATACAAAACAAACATAATCTTATTGTGATTTCAAAAAGATAAGTCTCTAGAAGAGAATTTGCAACACTGTAAACATTTCTTAACAGCATATTGCAGTCGACGCCTTCAACCGCTGGACAATGATCTTGGTGTCGCAACCTTACGGTAATCTGATTAAATTTAATTGAATCACTTTATAACAGAATAGAGCCGAATCCGTTTTATTGCTATTAGCGTGGATGAGCAGTCATCGAGCTGACAGTCCAGCGGGTTTAAGTAGTTGCCAAAAGCCAATACACAAGACAACGTAAAAGAAATAAAAAAGGAGACTTAAGACACGGGTACAAAGACTAAAATGTGCTTTATTTACCGCCGCCTTGCTTAGCCTTTGAATCAGGAAAACCAAAAACTTTGCGACGTTTAGGCATGACGCCTGGTCCATAAACACAACCCTACTGAGCTACTAGCCCGATCTTCTCAGTGTCGGGATACATTCCGACACGTTGGTCAACGTACCGAGTAATCTTTTTTTTTTTATTGCTTAGATGTATGGACGAGCTCACAGCCCACCTGATGTCAAGTGGTTACTGGAGCCCATAGACATCTACAACATAAATGCGCCACACACCTTGAGATATAGTTCTAAGGTCTCAGTATAGTCAATCTCTCAGGTTCAGCCAGTGAATTTACTTAGCGGTCCGCGAGTGGTTGGAATAGCCACTTAGGCTACCAACGCTGAGGTAGGGGAAAAAGCAAGACAGTAATGCTACCTAGTGTTCACAAAACGCTCTACGAATATAAATGTGTACGGAGTTGTAATAGCAATACAAAATTAGGACAATAAATTTATAATTGTATATTTTATAAATTTTTTTTAATTTAGCATCCCTATATTTAAGTCTAGTCATAATAAAAACAAGCGTTCGTTAATAAAAAGAAAGCAAATTAACACTATTTTCATCGTTTAATTTCGCGTATTTTTAGTATTATCATTATTTTATTTCCGAATCGCGAAAACCGTAGAAAACATTATAACTAAGTACCATTTAAAAAATCACAATAGCACAAATATAGGTTTTTTTTTTTTATAAAAACGACACGTTCGAATTAAAACATTTGTCAAGTGCCCTACATTGCTATGCTAAAATCTCGTAATATGTACTTAATATTGTATATGTATATATATATAAACATCAATGAGACCGTTGTTCCTGTGCGGCAATCGTAAAATGTCAAAAGCTGAAACGCGCATACATTATAATTTATGCATGAGCGTATACGATGCAACTAAGACGGTGCATCGCATTACTACATTAAAATTCCGGAGACCCTACCACAAACAAGCATTGTTGTAATCATAACATGCGTTCGGCAATGCTGACACGGAAATACATCGATCTAAGATTAAGCCAGGAACACATTAAGAAAATTGCTGAATTTATTAAATTGGGGCTTTCAATGCGAATGCCACTGTCTAAGAGGCTTTTTTTTTCCTACCTATGCTGATAGCCTTGAGAGGCTATTTCAGCTTCACCCTAACGTGTGTAGGTGAGCTCACGGGGCTCAAACCGGAGAGTTGCTAACACTGACCCTAGCAAGAGCAGTGCTTCGCAGAATCTACCACCGGATCGGAAACGCGACCCACTGAGAAGATCCGGCGAGAAACTCAGTGGGCTAGTAAGAGGCATGATATTGAAGTGTGATATTAAAAAAAAGTACGAAATACATGTTTTTTTCCCTACCTATTTGCTGGTAGCCTAGGAGGCTATATCAGCGGAACCTTAACTAATTAGTGAGCTCACAGGCTCAACCCGAGAGAATTTGTTAACACTAGCCCTAGGAAGAGTAGCAGAATCTACTACCGGATCGAAATTGCGACCCACTGAGTAGATCCGGCGAGACGTAAACCGTGTGTCTGCCACAAATCGATCGTCTATTCTCGTTTTAACCCTCAGACACAGCCCACTGAGGTTCTCCCCGGATCTTCTCAGTGGGTCGCGTTTCCGATCCGGTGGTAGATTCTGCGAAGTACGGCTCTTGCTAGGGTTCGTGTTAGCAACGTCGTCAGGTTTGAGCCCCGTGAGCTCACCTATTAGTTAAGGTTCCGCTGATATAGCCTCTCAAGGCTATCAGCTTAGGTAGGAAAAAAAAAGAAAAAGTCGTTTGTGGTTTTTACTTAGTTATTTAATTTACATCTTTCAACCGCATTGCCGACTTCAAAATAAGCACAATGAGGACAGCTTATCTCATCAACACTAAAATTAAATTCGTAATTAATAATGATTTAATATTATTATTTTTTTGCAACAATAAATTGTTAATTAAGAATTGTTATTGCACCAATTTAAAAGTGTGAAGAAGACTTATTCATATTTATTAATAATAATAAAAAAAAAAATTAACATGCATTTACAAAAGGTGTGTCCTTATCTTCTCACAGTTGGTTCTGTCAACACAAACATTGAATTTTGTTATCACATTCTACCTTCGTACTTAATTTACACTTTGCTATTTAATATCATGACAGTGTTTGCACAGTCCTCTAAGATTAGACACCCAAGATTCCTCTATTGTACTGGCGCTAATATAGCAAAAACATATTATTATATTTCGTATTTTGATTTATAATTTAAACACCTACCTGCGAATTTCATCGACCTGCCTTTCCTCCGGCAGCTCAACTGCTGCAAAGAGCTGCATTTCACCATCGCGGCTGAAAACGCCTCCTGGTATCTTCCTAAATAAAAAAATTCCATCTTAAATTTCACTGGGCTTTTCTTTTAAAGATTAGCTTAGAATTATTTTTTTTAATTTTCAACTCAGAATAAGATTATAAATCTATAATAATTATGATAAAGCGGACGAGTTGTTTGTTTGAATGCGCTAATCTCAGGAACTACTGGTCCGATTTGAAAAATTATTTCAGTGTTAGATAGCCCATTTATTGAGGAAGGCTATAGGCTATATAACATCAAGGTAAGATCAATACAAGTGGAGCACCAATAAAGAATGTTTCAAAATAGGGGTTTCAATAGCTTCCTTAACATTCTATAATTAAAAAATATTTTCACTTTCTACGTAAATGAAGTGGGGGGTAAATTTTAGCTTTATGCCAAAGTAACGCAGACGGAGTCGCGGGCAAAAGCTTGTTAGTTATATATTAAAAATATATCCAAGTGAGAAAATATGTACTCAATCCCACATTTCTCATCTTGCATTAGAGTAATCAGATTTTTTCTTTCAAAAATGAACAGCTCATCTGTCTCACAAAGTGTCAAATTGGCGTTTAAAAGACTGCAATGGTGCATTTTAGTTTTTTTAGTGGAAAAATGTTTAGTTTACATCAACACTGACTTTACCACAATCCTGAATCATAGTATGATAATAAGTAATGATCTCTTTAACGATAATATGACATTGGCAAATGAAACTCTTTTTGTATACATAGCAAGTAAAGACGGTTGTCGAAAACTAGCAATATGTAAACTTGTGTATGGTTTTCTATTACCTATGTACGATTTTAGAGATTTAACCTAAAGTTTGACAGCAACACATGTATGTCTTTTTATTGAAAAAGTGGATTAAAGTATTTCATTTAATGCATTAAATTAAACTTATTTTTAAAAGAATACTCGTTACATCACATGGTCAATCTAATAATGATATAAGACAATCTAGTTAAGAATATTCAGTGTTACACATAATTATTTAAAAATCTTGATTACTTTCTTGTAATTTCATCATTTCAAAATAATATTGAACACTTACTAAAAAAAAAAGAAAGCAGTTTATATAATGCTTTACTATATATTTTCTTAAACATAAACATTGATAAATAACGCATCTCTAATTTATACAATGGAGTAATTTTTTAATACCATATTTAAATTTTCAAAGCAGAATGTTTCAAATTAGTTAATTTATTAATTAAATTTTCAACTTCCACTCAAACATTTAGTTTAGAGTTATTGGATAATTTGAAAAAATTTACATTACAAAATTAGTAATTTTAAATTACTAATTTTGTAATGTAATGTAATTTTGTATCATGGACGGAGCGCAGAACAAATGTGTCAATTCTCGAGGAGCTAAACGTCAAGACCCGTCTATCTACAATCTGCATGCAGCGTCTCCTCAAGTACTTCGGACACGTGGCCCGACAAAATCCCGAGAACTTGGAAAAATTAATAGTTGTAGGTCACGTGGAAGGAAAGAGAAGTCGAGGAAGATTGCCAACCAGGTGGACGGACANGGAAAAATTAATAGTTGTAGGTCACGTGGAAGGAAAGAGAAGTCGAGGAAGATTGCCAACCAGGTGGACGGACATTATCAAGGAGGCCACAAACACCAGCGTCCCGGGCGCCATTAAGCAGGCCGAATGCAGGCAGCATTGGAGGAAGCTGGTGCAAAAACTGGACCAAGGTGGTCACGACCCTCAGCAATGAGGAAACAACAGAGAAGAAGAAGAAGAAGAATTTTGTAAGGCATCACCATGCACCAGTGATTAAAGTCACATAATCAAGAATTGGTGGAAGCTGGTGCAAAAACTGGACCAAGGTGGTCACGACCTTCAGTATTGAGGAAGCGAAGAAGAAGAAGAAGATGAAGAAGAAGAATCAAGAGCTCATTTTATTCATTATAAAATATAATAAAATCAGTGTGAACTTATCATTTTCAAAATTTCTCTAGGTGAAAAGTTGTCTAGCAGGGTTATTGGATCTGATGGATCCTTAAGGATGTGTCTAGGGACTCGAAAGTGACTGACTCCTGCGTGATCAGGATTCGGTGAGTAATTATCATGACGCATAGCCTTATCAAAGTACTGACCAGGTGTACTATGAAACCATCACACCCAATAAAAAAAACTTAAATAACTTTAGAAATGAGGTCATTTTTGTATTCATATATTCAAGAGGAATTCTATCAAGTATTCCATTATTATTATCTCTTTCAAAAGAAGTCTCTCCAAATTTCAGAAATAGGCAAGTGTTTTGTAACTAACAGAAAACAGATTACATATACCAAGCTGAACTGTTAAAATGGAATAACTTTATCATTAAAATTGAAGGCAGTTTTGAAATATTGCAAGTATTTGGCATGTTTTATTCAAGGGACAAAACATATGATATTTGCAACAAGAGTATACAAAAAAAAGAAAAGAAACAATTACCTGAGAAACTTTTTCAAGACACTGGCAATGGTATATACAGAATAATTGTCCACATTGACTAGTCGGCCAGTTTGAAGAAAATGAATTAATTTTTTCATGGCTCCCTGATGACCCGGCGCGCGGAACACATCGCGGCGCAGCGGTGCCTCCTTGTTCAATTTCAATATCAGAACCTAGTGGAGATTCAACACTTTTACCACCGGGAAACAACTCAAATCACAATTAAATACTTTCTTAACATAAAAAAAGCTCTTTAAATGCTTCGTTTATCACAACGAATAACTGGCCATAAGTTTTACTGCAGGGCAGTGACGAATGTATTTAAAATTACCGTCGTAATCTATTGATACTAACGAGCAAGGGACCCGGGATGTCATCCTTGCAGACTTCGAGAAGTGGAACGCCGAATTTGACTTTTTCTAGTCTTCTTGGATAGGGCAGTGAATTCGGGTGGCCACAAGACGTGACTACATTACTCAATGTAGCTGCTCGGCGATGCATTCTCCTTGCCCAGTTGCTCATTTTGTGGAATCACAGAAGTCACTTTTATTGTATTTCATCAATGTAGAGGCGGCATTTTAATAGATGCGCTATTTTAAAAATGAAATAATAATTATTTGACTCAATAACAATTTTAAGCGTTAACAGCTATGCTCGTCGCCTGATAGTAGGGTTTGAAAGTAAGCTCTTCCCCTGTAAGTATCACTTTACTCTTTGCCACTTTGGATTTAATAAAATTCTGCACCTATCTCAATTTGAGATTCCCAAATCTAATTACATTGAAAATTGAAACAGAGAAAACAATACAGCGGTAGTCTGACAAAGCCAGACTAACGGTGTGACCAATGCATACACGAAAAATCGCCAGAAATCTGACTGCAATTCTATCAAAATTTACTACTGCAGTGCTACTATTATTTCAATGACGCAATGATTAATCATACCAAAAATCACGCTACCTATTCTTTAAAAATTTTGGGTTTGGTTTTTATTATCATACAATATATTTCATTGAAAAAAATGTTACTTGCTTTGCCTATGACTTTTAAGCAGTGGCCTAATTCTCCATTACAAAAAAAAGCTTTATGCTTATTTTACTGTTATAACATATTTTAAGAAATATAGTATATTATACTATACGAAACCATGCCTGATGCCCATTCTGAATGTGATAACCGATCGAAGACACGTTTTCATTAAAAAGTTAACGATATATTAGAACTTATACTACGCTATTTGAAGTTACTTTTTAAAAAAACTCAAATATACAATAAATATCATGTCTAATGAATACAATATTGGAATTGTCGAACCGTTTATGTGCATAATCGTTGTTTTAGTTTAGGAATTTACTGTATTTACTTATAAGTTCATACTAAAAAATTATATTTGCAACCGGAGTGAATTGTAAGAGAAATGAAAATGGAAAAAATTGGTCAAAATAACATTTAGATATGGATATCGATGAATATCTAGACTGTATACCTGTTTATTTGTGTATTGTAATAGTGTAGCGTTTATTCGGGCTTAAATGTATAATAATTGTGAACTACAATTACTGAACAATTACTGAATTTACAGTAACTGAAAATTAAATAAAGACGCTAGATGTGGTTTGTCGGTTTGTTTGTAAATTTTGGTGAAGTGTCGGTTATATTTCATCATTTGACAGAGAGGTTATATCTTTTCAGTCACTGAATTTCATCTCACCCCATAACTGATTTCGCAATAATCAACTCAATTAATTTCGTTTTGTTAACTTTTCATATCACAAAAATGACTTCACCTGAAAACACTGAGCAAAAATTGGTTGAGTGTTGTTTCTTTTGCCTATCCATTTTCAAGAACAAAAAAATATCCATGGAACAAATCATAAGCAAAATAAACACTCTACTTCTCTTGACTTTTTGGCGGGAATGCGAGGAATGAAGTTGTGTGATTTGTTTTATTTTGTCTATTTAGTGTTTCTTCAGGTTTAAATGGGTAATAACGGTGGTTTATTATGTAACTGGTTAGTATCTGTGAAAGTGCCCAAATGTGGGAAAATGAAACAAAGCCTCTGAACGTAACTTCTCGGGATCCTCCAAAAAATCCCCTGAAAAAGTCTCAGTAAATTACCACCATTTTACTGAGATTATATTTAATCCCATATCATCTCATCTCATTCCTATTCATTCCGTTTTCATTTCATTTCATTTCATATTATAATTTTTAACATAAAAAAAGTTTTTAGTAAATTAAAATAAGACTTGACCTAAAGAACTTAGTTACCAGGTCATAAAATCCATTAAAAAAAGTTATTTGAAATTGTAAATTAAAATTACGAAGGAATTAGGTAGGTACACATGTACCTATTGCAATTTGTAAATTTGTAAAATAACATTGAATTTGTGTCGGATACCTTTTTATTACTGAAGTGATAAACAAAATGACTGATCGCGACGATGATGATTGGATTGAGAACGAAGAGGTAGTCGTACAAACACCGGCATCAAATGTACCTACACACAATACAAGGGTTTACCGACCAACGGCTAGTCGTGGAAATCGCGGCCGTAATACCGATTACAATTGGAGGTCTCGTGGTACAAACGAAGGCCAAAGTGGACGTTTTGACGATAGACGTTCTGGCTCTCGCCAAGAGGGTAGCAAAAAAGTTATTACCATACCTACCGATAAAGTAGGTAGGGTAATAGGTAAAGGTGGTTCAAAAATACGAGATCTGCAAGATGAATCTAAAGCGAAGATAAAGATAGGCGATTCCAGTGGTAATGAAACGGATGTAACCCTCTTCGGCAGTGACGAAGCTATCGGTAAAGCTGAAACCATGGTGAATAACCTAATGGAAGACTACAAACCTGCTCCGAGGAAAGAATATGAAGAAGTGGAAACAAGTAACTCACAAGATTTTTTTAAGAAAAATGATGGTGGTGTCCAAGTGATTGACTGGGATAAACTCAATGCCTTTTATGATGAACAACAAAACAACAGATGGGATAAGCTGCCGCCAATTATCAAAGATTTTTACAATGAAGATCCATTGGTTAAGAATATGTCCAAAGCAGAAGTGGCTCATTGGCGTCTAGTCAATAATGACATACAAGTAAAAAGAACATTTGATGAAAAACCAGGCTTAAAACCCATACCAAATCCTGTTCAAACATTTGAACAAGCCTTTCAGCATTATCCAGAAATTTTAGATGAAATTTACAAGCAGGGATTCAAACAGCCATCACCAATACAATGCCAGGCATGGCCAATACTTCTTCGTGGTGATGATATGATAGGTATTGCGCAGACAGGGACTGGTAAAACATTGGCTTTCTTATTACCTGCACTAATCCACATAGAAGGACAAACTATACCTCGAGATCAGAGGGAAGGCCCTACAGTACTCATCATGGCACCTACACGAGAGCTGGCACTTCAAATAGACAAAGAGGTAGCAAAGTATCAGTATAAAGGAATTAAATCAGTATGCTTATATGGTGGAGGTGACCGTAAAGAACAGATTAAAGTCGTTGCCAAGGGAGTTGATATAGTGATAGCTACTCCAGGCAGACTCAATGATTTGGTAATGGCCAGGCATTTGAATATCATAAATTTCTCATATATTGTTTTAGACGAGGCAGATAGGATGTTAGACATGGGTTTTGAGCCTCAAATCAGGAAATCACTATTTGATGTAAGGCCTGATCGTCAAACAGTAATGACATCCGCAACATGGCCTACTGGAGTACGCCGCCTTGCTGAATCTTACATGAAAGATCCCATCCAAGTTAATGTTGGATCATTGGATTTAGCAGCAGTGCACACTGTCACACAACAAATTATGTTTGTAGAAGAAGATGACAAAGAAGCAGCTCTGTTTGACTTTTTGTATAATATGGAACCTACTGACAAGGTCATCATATTTTGTGGCAAGAAAGCAGTTGCTACCCACATTACTACTGAATTATGCCTTAAAGGTATACAATGCCAATCTTTACATGGCGATAGGGATCAAAGTGATCGTGAGGCAGCTTTGGAAGACATGCTAGATGGGACAGTCAACATTTTGATTGCCACTGATGTTGCATCTCGAGGAATTGATATAAAAGATTTGACACATGTCGTGAATTTTGATTTTCCAAGGCATATTGAAGAATACGTACACAGGGTGGGGAGAACAGGACGTGCAGGAAAAACAGGAATAGCTCTTTCTTTTGTTTCAAGAAACGATTGGGCTCATGCAGCTGAGCTCATAAAGATACTTGAAGAAGCAAATCAAGAAGTCCCTCAAGAGTTAGAGGAAATGGCGCAAAGATTTCAAGCTATGAAGATTAGAAGAGAGCAAGAGCCTGGTAGGGGGGGAGGACGTGGAGGTGGAAGAGGGGGTAGAGGGAGAGGCAGATGGTAATTAATAAAAGAACCATCGATTCAGTAAGATATGTCTGTAATAATAATGCAAGACTACTTAAATTAATAAAGTACAACTCAAAACTAATTGAACTTTACCAACATAGTATTTGTGTACTTTAAGTTACAACAATCGTTTCACTCTTGACAGAGTGGTTGTGATCGTCATGTAGTGTTGGAGGGGGTAGACATGACACATCTCACAATGTCTCACCATGTATCCCTGCTCGAGGCTTCTTAGGTAACATATCATTGGTAAAGTAATAATATTTCACCATAAGATTTAAGTTTCAGATTGCAATAGCTAAAACAGGATGTTCCCATAAGGTTTTATTTAAATAACAAATCTAGTCTTATAGTAAAAAAAAAGGATCTATTGTACTACCAAAAAACAAAATATTGAACTGTGCAGTAACAACAAAAATATGGTATCTAGTTACTGGCTGCAAATAGATTTAAAGGCACTAAAGAAACCTAGGGCTTTATTAAAAATGTCTCATTTTGTAGTTTTCAGTATTCTTAATAGTATTGAAAAGCTACTTTAATTATATTTGTAAGCTAAGATATTTCCAATGTTTGTTTAAAAAAAGGTATCATTCAATTATTCAAATAATATTTAAAGCTGTGTCACAATCCTGATTCACTGAAATAATTTTTTCTTTCTCTTAGTTGGTATTACTCTTGACAGAGTGGTTGTGGTCATCACTTCCGGCATTAGTGGCAACCTTCACAAAAAAGCAGTCACTCTCTCAAATTCTATAATTTTACTTATTAAGGTTTTTAATTTATTTTGGCCTATAACTTTAAGGCATTGTAGTCCATGAACGTGAATAGTCCACAGCACGATTTCCACTCTAGAAACATGATTTGAAAGTTTTCAATATGCCCCTGAATAATGACTATCTAGGTACCCATGAAACCGAATCGTGTGTCTCAGTTATATCGGGTATAGAAAATATATCTGTATATCATTATCAGTCAGTATATATCTGTAAGCAGTCCTAGCTCATGCTAGTTAAATTGTCAAATGTAAGCAACAACAGGTATCATGAAACGGATAAGTTCCAATGAAGAAGCGACTATTCTATTTTTCACCAGAATTTCTATTTGCTTGTTTCAAAGAGAACTTGTAAAATGTGCTATGCCATCAATAGCTAGAAGTATCTGCTATGATTGAAACAGAAGGCTAGTGTTTGCGTAAATATTGTATGGCCATAAATGTTTATGCTGAGCATCCATTATTGTTTGTAATATGGCATCTAATATTTTTCCTATGTAGTTTAAAGGTATTAATACTAAAACTAGTCATAACTATGTTGTTTTAAGAACAACAAGAATTTGACGTTTGTTTATAATCATTGAAATAAGAAAAAGTTAAGGGATCAAGGGAAGGGGAAGAAAAAGAGAAGGATCAAATTCAAATTTCTGTTTCTGTACTGGTTTGATACAAACTCAACTTATTAACTTTAGTTGACAGTGGTCTCCGCTTTTCTGAAGCAAAGGGCACGAACAATTATACGAGTAGAAGTATCATCAGACTGTTCTACAATATGACTCGAATATGCTCCTCTCTGATACTCAAAATGCATAAAAAAACGACTACCTGTTATATGTGGATAATAAAACAATCCAAATCTTCTTAAACGTACGTGCCAACTCTGGAGTGTTATTAAAATTCAATTCGATGAACCAAATGCAAACGCATGGACTACAGACAAGCAAATAATAATTTTATTTTCTAAGGAAATTGAAATTGTGATATTTTCTATAAGTTCGCAACACATTTTGTAGTGGGTTACATATGTTTCTAGCTACTTGTGAATTAAATTTATACGTCCAACTGAATTCTCACAAACAGAAGTTTATCATAAATCTAGCAAGATTAATACCGAAGGAAATCGAACCTGGACCACATGATAGTCAATACCTTCTTATATTCTTTTTTTTATTGCTTAGATGGGTGGACAAGCTTACGGCCCACCTGGTGTTAAGTGGTTACCGGAGCCCATAGACATCTACAACGTAAATGCCGCCTACCTTGAGATATGAATCCCTAAACCGAAACGCGTTACTGCTTCACGGCAGAAGAATTATTCACATTTCATTATGTCGGTGACTTATTTTAGTTGATTAAACAATCTTATTTAACACTTAAAGGAACAGAATTCGTTAAATTATCACTTTTAAGTGTCACTAAAGTTTACAGATGCATGTGTTGTCTAAATAAGTATAGCATAAAATCAGGAACATTGTACAACTGTGTTCAGATTGATCTTCACTAATGGTTTATTCATAAAGTTGCATTCACGTTTCGCCCAAGTAAATATCATCTAATAATAATAATTATATAAAGCATAATAATATTATGCTAAACTTTTCACATCGGAAGTGTATGAAAATAATCTGGCTAGATTTATTACAAACTTACAGTATTTGTGATCATCCGGTTACATATTCATTGTAGTTATGTTAATAGATATAGTGAGATTATTTAAATTACCTATGTGTAATGTCTTTAAGACAAAGTATTTTTGTTACTATTTAGTAACTAAATATTAGAGTATTTACTCTAATATTTAGACACGCCACAAGCTGGCATTTTTAATGTTTAGCTGGTCCAAAACGTGTCTGCCAGATCTGCATTTGTATTTTAATTATTATAACCAATAAAGATGAATACATACGCATGTTATTGTTTCATTAATTGATCAAAATTGACATATTTTGATCGGCGAACGGACTATAAGCTGGAACTCAACCGGTTCGAACTGGAATTACTAGCGGTTACCAGAGCTCCAAAAATCACGTCGTGACTACTACTGTTCATAATTTTAAGGTATAAAATGGAAATCTCAACGAGACGGAATCATAACGAAATTTAAAATGAAGCGGTTAAATTTTTCGCGGTAAAAATCAGCAAGCTATTACATATCATTTTTCAAGTGATGTTCGTAAAGCCCATAGACGTCAATGGTCACTCACCGTCCAGTAAGTAGGTGTTACGTCCAACTGCCTTTAAAGGCAATAAAACAGAAAAACTCCTTTGCCTGTCAGGGTGATAACAATAAAAAAAAACTTATTTTGAGATTCGCAATATCTGAATACGCAAGAAATAGCCGACCAACATTTACGGTAGTAAATGCATTTTAGAATTTGATACTTTTCATTTCATCAATAAAACAAAATAAATATATTTCGAGTTAAATTTCTTTTCAACCATACAGGCAAATCACAAATACGATACACATTACAGTACATCTAAGCGAATATTACATTTGAAAGTAGGTAAACTCTACTTATAACAATAATTATCTTATAGAATTTTTAACAAATGAATCCGCTTATCTCATAAGGTGCACTATCGAATTCGTGCATGCTATAGCAATTTCAACAAGACCAATAAAGCATTGTTATATAAAACTCAATCTGGTTGATATATGTATGTACGAGATTAAATATTATCTTTTTATGAAAATATCAATATGTCTCAGGAATCGCAAAATAACAATACAAGACAAATTGTAACAACAATCGAAAATAAATAATAGCAATATAGTAACTAAAACACTATACAAGAGTGGTTCGACCTAACGCGTTTACACATTTTTAAGGAACGTTAAGTTTAGATGATCTCTAATCGTTTCATTTCTTTGTGAAGTTCCACGCCCATTTTGGCCGGAGAACGGGTGACGATTACATTAGCTTTTTCTAAAGCCTTAATTTTGTCCATGGCGCCTCCTTTGCCGCCCGAAATGATGGCACCGGCGTGACCCATTCGTCGGCCCGGGGGAGCCGTCAAACCGGCGATAAACGACACCACAGGCTTCGCTTTTTGACCCTGGAAACCAATGCCGTTACATTATTAATACGCTTCTATTAGCTTCAGACGTATGTATGTTAGTATGTAACGGAATCTTTGAACATGATTTTGAGCCCCTTCAAAACGTCGAATTAACTCGAAATTTGGTATACTTATTAAGGACCGATGACAATTTAATATTTAAAAAAAAAAAAATTGAAATTCAACTAATAGATGAAAAATAAATAATAAAAAACTAACAAATTACGCTTTTATAGAAAATCCAACTAAAATATAGATAATAAATTTTAATAAATTTGAATTAAAAACACTGAAAAAAATGATTTTATTGTAAAAAAAAGCGTGGGGTGCATGGTATCAGTAGTTACAAATATTTTATGAACAGATATGAGTAGAAGGATTATTTTGATATATCCTGAAAAGCACCACAAATACAAATTTTTAATTCCAATTTATTAAAATTTATTTTCTATTTTTTAGTTGGATTTNAATAAATTTTAATAAATTTGAATTAAAAACACTGAAAAAAATGATTTTATTGTAAAAAAAAGCGTGGGGTGCATGGTATCAGTAGTTACAAATATTTTATGAACAGATATGAGTAGAAGGATTATTTTGATATATCCTGAAAAGCACCACAAATACAAATTTTTAATTCCAATTTATTAAAATTTATTTTCTATTTTTTAGTTGGATTTTCTATAAAAGATTTTCTATTATTTATTCATTGAAACATTCAACAGAATAATCGTGTTGATTAATGGTATGTATTTTAAATATTAGGAATATGGATGGTATTGATAATTTAAACATGGCGGAGCACTAAACTAACTAATGTACTTCTTAATAAGTTTACTTTATATTAACCGTACATACTACAATACTAGCTGTACGTACTCTTACTATACAACTTCATATAGGAGAATGAGCAGCATAGTTCTGAATATGATGCCTGCATACTGCGATTGTCAGTTGCTACTTAATGTTTTTTTTATTTTTTATAGCCCTTGTAGGCAGACGAGTATACGGTGAGTGGTTACCGTCGCCCATGGACTTCAGCAATGCCAGGGACAGAGCCAAGCCGCTGCCTACTGCTTAATACTCTCCACAAGCCTCTTTTAAAGAAGGACATGTCATAGCGCTCGGGAAACACCGTGGAGCTCATTCCATAGCCGGATGGTACGTGGCAAAAAAAAACTAGGATGTATTGTAAGCCAGTTTATTCCACCATCCTACCCTTTTTTGCTATCGCGAAGCAATCATAGGTTCTGACTTAAAAGGTGACACTATACAAATGAGATTTAGACCATAATATACGATATATGGTTAGATAATATGGTGGCATTCATGTTGTCATATCTACAGGGTCTGGTAGCCACTCAAGACCAGGTAGGCCGTGAGCTAGTTCACCCACCCACGCAATAAAATAAATTAAAAATTTGAGAGTGTTGAGATGTGAATTTATTTCGTAAATGAGGTTGCTGTGTCACAACGAAAACACGCACAATTCTAGTTAATAATTATTGTATAGTAAGAAGATAGAAGTCCATGGACCCTGTTCTTGAGATATGATATCAATCATGTTGTAATAACAACTTGTATCTTTCAACGTAAGCGCGGTCACAGTACATTCTCCTCCCATTTTTTTTTTAATTACGAGCATTAACCTTTTTTTATGATTGAAAAACCATTTCGAGGAGTAGGCTGTTTAATTCTAGAAAATTCATTCTTAAGGATTTTTTTCTTATTATATATACAAACTATCGGCCCGCTCCGGCTCCGCTCGGGTCTTTAACAAAAATTTCAACGATGTTTGACGTTGTTTTATGTTTTTAAACAAAGGAACACTTATTGCAGCATAACTATAATAGTTAGACCTATGCTGTCGCGACACTTTTTGTAAATAATAATGTGTTCTACAAAGTCGTAGTACATTATTTTATTCCATCATCAATAGTTTTCGCAGAGCACGCGATGTAAAGAATATTTTAGGTAATTTTTTTACACCTTTGGTTACATTATTGGAATATTAGTAAGGATCCCTAATTTTTTTCAAAAAAGATTATAGCCTATGTCACTCGGGAATAGTGTAGCTTCCAAACAATGAAAGAATTTTTCAAATCGGTTCAGTAGTTTCGGAGCCTATTCAATACAAACAAACAAACAAATCTTTCCTCTTTATAATATTAGTATAGAAGTATAGATAATCTAAAATTAAATATAAACGCTCTAACGATATAGTTTTGAGTAATAATATATTTTTTATATATTTATTCATTAAACACTACCTGATTTACTTTAGTACACAAAACGTAATTTATTAATATCAGTTGCAGATATATGTTACGCAATCGTTGTACGTCATTTGTTATTTAAATAATATCTGAAGACAAATTATCTACACACACCAATCGCACAATAAGCGTCAACATATTGTATTGCTGTGACATGATATGAAATCTAATCCATCACAGAATTCGTCACTGCCACTTGGAACCTATTACAAGGTTTGTACTTACTACTGTGTACTTTCTACTTTGTCCTACTGTGTACCAGGTATTATTTCTTACCCGTTTCAAACTCTAGAATGAAGACCCTACGTATTGTTCTTTTTTAAGTGCTAATACATCCCTCTTCAAATAAGGTTTTAAATTAAATTAATGGCAAGTAGTAGCTCAACTATTCAACGGGTATTGCTGATGTCCATGGGCCATGGTAACCACTTAAAATAAGGCAGAATCTCTGATCACTATAGCTATATACCTAAATGGTCAATACTATAATGATTTACGATTAATTGTTTACCAATCTTCTAGACCTTCTAAATCTACAACAAAAACTAATTCTAAACATATTACTAAATCTGTAGTATAACTACAAAAAAATCAAATTAACTTAACCATTGGGCTTGAATATTATTTTACCTTTTTCTTCTGTAAAGTAGAAAATAATTTTAAAAGAATTAAAAAAAAATTTTTTTTTATGATTATTCACTAATTGGAAATGGGACCTTAACGAGTCAACATAGATTTAAAATATAAAGGAAACATCAAAAACTTCAAGGAAACATCCTTGTACATCCAAAAATATTACACAAAGGAGGGGTATTTGAGATATAAATTTATATTTTCTTTTTGTCATAATGACATGTCTTGTAATTTTATACTACAGCGTTCCAGAAAAAGAAATATTCATGTTTCATAATTTTTTTTATTAATCTCCGGGTTTTATTACTAACAACTATAAACTCAAATGCTAATGAAGAAATGAATTGAAGATACTTACAGTATTGTACTGAGTCAAATATTCTGATGCTAATTCTTCAGCATTTCCACCAATTTCACCAATGAGGATGATGCCCTTGGTCTCAGGATCCTTGAGGAAAACTTCTAAGCAGTCAATGAAGTCTGTTCCATTGAAGGGATCCCCTCCAATACCGACACACAAAGTTTGGCCTAAGCCAGTCTGCAAATTCATAAATAAAATTTCTAAGACATATTATTAATAATAAGAATAGTTTGAGCCATAACAATATTTTCTGCTGTTTGAAATTTAATAGTTTTAAAATATTATTATACCATTCAGGACTTTGTAAAGCAAAACTTAAGAAAATTGAACTTTCAACCTCAGTAGAGTAAAATTTTACTGAAAATACAATGAAGTCCAAATNCCAGTCTGCAAATTCATAAATAAAATTTCTAAGACATATTATTAATAATAAGAATAGTTTGAGCCATAACAATATTTTCTGCTGTTTGAAATTTAATAGTTTTAAAATATTATTATACCATTCAGGACTTTGTAAAGCAAAACTTAAGAAAATTGAACTTTCAACCTCAGTAGAGTAAAATTTTACTGAAAATACAATGAAGTCCAAATAGTTTTTTTTAGGGAGTTTTTGCTTAGTATTTATGCAAATCATTAGGGTTAGGGTCACCAAAATATCTGTATATACAAAAATCAGACCCGTCAATGCAAAAAATGGAGATATACTGATTTTAACATTATTATTAGTTAGTATGATTTCCAGCAATTTTATAGCCTTGCATTTAACTTACAATAGTAGTCTGATGACAGGCTTCATAGGTCAATGTCCCAGAACGCGATACAACTCCGATGCAACCACGTTTGTGCACTGCAGCTGGCATGATACCAATTTTACACTTCTCGGGAGCAATGATACCAGGACAGTTAGGACCAACCAGTCTAGACTTGTTTTGTCTCAAGAGGGCATGTTTTACTCGCACCATATCCTGAAATACCAAAAACATTGCATTGGCAGCCATTCAAGACCATACTTTTTTATAGATTTCAAAATGAATAGTAGTAAAAGTTTAAATATCCACTTTTTATTTTGAATGTGAGATCTTAAATTGGGAACAATATCACAGTAGGTACCAAGTATATCAAGCAATCAATTGTAATAATAATGTGATGAGTTTATGTATCTAGGTCACAGTACTGAATTAATTAATAACCAGTAAATGTCAGTTCTCATCATACAGTCATCGTCCTCGTCAAACCCGTCGCTCGCGACGAAGGGGTCGACGAGTAAATTAACTCTCAGACAAAGCTCACTGTGTTTCTCGCCGGATCTTCTCAGTGGGTCGCATTTCCGATCCGGTGGTAGATTCTGCGAAGCACGGCTCTTGCTAGGGTTCGTGTTAGAAACGTCGTCAGGTTTGAGCCCCGTGAGCACACCTACTAGTTAAGGTTACGCTGATATAGCCTCTCAAGGCTCGCAGCTTAGGTAGGAAAAAAATAATCTTATCAACACCCGATAAAATAATATGGCCAACTTACATGTTGTGGCACACCTTCTGTAATGCACACAATGAGGGGCATTTCAGCCTCAATAGCTTCTAGAATGGCTGCTGCAGCTCCAGGGGGAGGTACATAAATAACAGAGGCAGTTGCTCCTGTGCCTGCCTTTGCCTCTTTGACTGTACCAAACACAGGCTTACCAAGATGTTCTGTACCAGCCTTCTTTGGTGACACTCCTCCAACAACTTTAGTACCATAGTCAAGGGCTTGTTGGCTGTGGAAGGTACCCTGCTTTCCAGTGAAACCCTGAACAATCACTTTTGTTTCACTTGTAAGGATCAAATTTTTTCTGGTTTCAGCATAAGGGTTGCCGGATGCAAATCGTACATTGCCGAGTTTTAGTCCATCTAAGGAGAGTAAAATATGTTTTAATTATGACTCACTAAACTTGTTTTACTTAAAACTTAACTTTTTCCTAAATGCTCTTTTTTTTTTTTAATTTGTTATGCGATTCAAAATTAAGCGCCTACCTAGTTTTTTCGACAATTTTGTTAAAATTGGGTATTTGATGTACTGATTAGATACATAATCAAAGTATATACAAGATTGTATCAAAGGTCAAGTTATTGGTTTTCATGGACCACAAATCGCAAAATTAACGAAACTCTTACACTAGTTTATATAATTAATATATCACTATAATATCGACCATTGAGATAAAAATAGTAGTCCTGGGTGAAGGTCTCACTCTTTGAATACCATTGGCGAAACTCGCGTTGAATTATTCACCCATCATTCAATTGTGTTATCAATGTTATTACCTGTTATAATATATACGTAACAGAGTAACCATTCGTCCAGTTAAAACCCATACAGCGGGATACGTACCAACCATCAAGGTTAAGTACAGGTTAATAAAACAGTGGTCCGAACTGTGCTTTTACATGTTGATTTCACAGTTAAAATAATTCATGAATGGATAAATAACTTACCTTTGAACTTAGAAAGAACCCGGACTGGCATAGCCATTGTAGAATTATTGAATGTAAATCTACGAAAGGGAAAAACTAGAGATTAATTTAATTGGATGGTGAGTGACACTAAGTGACACTGACAACAAGAATCTATTGCCAACGATTACGTAACAGAGATTTGATCAGACATTAAGATGATTGTGAAAATCTATGGATGAGTAAGTTTTTTTTTTTTTTACGACTGAAAGATTACTGGTGTCCCGGAGGCCTTTCCAGTTTCACCAGGACATGTAGGCGAGCAAGGGCTCAGCCAGAAGGGGTGGGATTTGCTAACAACTGCTCGAGTGCCTCCGAAGGAGATCTAACAAGTCAAGAGCAATTGCTTCGCGAATGAATCTACTACCGGATCGGAATCGCGACCCACTGAGAAGATCCGGCGAAAAACTCAGCGGGTTGATGCATGGGTTAGGTTGCACGTCTCAGGGGGCCCACCTCGTGATCGGAGGCGTTCGCGTCGAGATTGAGGCGACCGGGTTGCGGTACCTCGGTCTCGTACTGGACGGTCGTTGGAGCTTCCGCGCTCACTTTGAAAGATTAGGTTCCCGACTGATGGCAGCCGCCGGCTCGCTGAGTCGGCTGTTGCCGAACGTCGGGGGGCCTGACGTGGTGGTGCGCCGCCTCTACACGGGGGTGGTGCGGTCGATGGCACTGTACGGGGCTCCCGTGTGGTGCCACGCCCTGACCCGCGACAACGTCGCGGCGTTGCGACGGCCACAGCGGGCGATTGCGGTCAGGGCGGTTCGCGGGTACCGCACCGTTTCGTTCGAGGCGGCGTGCGTGCTCGCCGGGACGCCTCCCTGGGACCTGGAAGCGGAGGCGCTCGCTGCGGATTACGCGTGGCGATGTGATCTCCGCTCCAGGGGGGAGCCGCGTCCCGGCGCGGCGGAAGTTCGAGCGCGGAAGCTTCAATCTCGGCGTGCCGTGCTCGAGGCGTGGTCTCGCCGCCTGGCGGACCCCGCCTACGGGCGACGGACCGTCGAGGCGATCC